CCCCCGCCTCACTCCTCGACGACTTCGACAGAGTTTCCTCAACTGTTCCCCGCCAAGTCTGCGGGAACGCGGCCCGCGTACGCATCTTGCCAAGCAACCTTTTCAACACATGACATTGTCTTGGCATCCGGCAAAGACGAGGTCCCTTTCATCTTGTCCCAGTGCAACCGCCTTGTCTGTTTCAAACAAGCCATCGAGTTGACTTGGTGAGCCGCTGACCCAAAGTCGGCGCCGCTGTAAGTCGTGATACCAACCTAAAAAGTTGCCAGGAACCCACCCATCTCCATCGAAAAAAGCAACAAGTCGATAGAAAAGGCACACACGCTCCCTGCTGTCTGCCGAGACATTTGACTTGGACTTGAGCCAGATCTTCTCCATAGCCCCTTGTGGCGACATGCATTGCTAGATCCCGCCTGAAAGCAAGGTAGATGGCACTGCCACCCATTCACAACTGACTCTATTCACCTCGTGTTGTCTCATTTTCACCAAGCCAAACAAGAAAAGAAGAAAGAAAAAACAATGACCGTTGTTTTTTCAACACGGAATCACCACACCCGGCCATTTAGCGGGACCCGGGCCGGCCCGACCGCCCCGACCAGTTTCTGGCGCGCGCACCACCATCGACCCCCCCCCGAAGAGAGGACCGGGGAGATTTCGTTGACTCGCACGCCTCATAGAAGCTAACCGACGACCCGTGCATTCCTCGTCGCTGCCCTTCCCCGACTGCCCGACGCAGGCTGGCAATGCGGATCCTGCACATACACGCCCAAATGCTCAACACGGTCCGCTGCCATGTGCACTCCCCAATCAGATACTACCCGGATTCGTCGACGCCCCCAATACAGATTAGACATTGATGATCTGTACTGTCCATCCACCGCTGCACTCCGCCAATCCCCTTCCCCCGGTCTTCAGCTCTGTGTCACCCGTGGTATGTATCTCTTTCATCTTGGTATCGCACCGTTTTATTGTCATCCTATCCGCACGTCACTAGCTGTTCATAGTGCGCCATGGGCCGTGCAGAATCCAACTTCAGATCTCCGGCCGGCCAGATGGAGAGCGAGACTTGCCGCAGCAGCCATCGGAGGCAAGGAAACTCACGGATCAACAGGACGAAAGCCACGCAAAGATGATCAAGGACGGTGGAAATTAGCGTCATACCAGCGGTCAATGTCTCGCTTGCACCAGATCCGCGAGCCGCCCCAAGCAGACGCTATCCGGTAGCAGCACGGTCATCTCTAGAGTCAAGGTGGCGAGAAATCACATTGAGGCCGGTCCTTGCACCTTGACTAAAATTCACTAGTAACAGCTTCTCCTCTAAGCCTTCTTGACCAAGACCCCCCAGGTATGTGGCAGAAACGTGAGGGCGTGGATGAACTCAACGAGATCAGGGTCAAATCGCTGGATCTGGTTCCCCGGGCCCGGGCCAAGCTCGAGGATCTTGCCTCGGGACTGCTTGACGAGGTAGGGAACCACGGTGGTGCTCTCGTACTCGATAGAACCCTCAGCTGGCAAAAGTGCTCTCAGAAAAACGGTCCCAGGTGTATAGCTACCCGACACGGTGGAGGGAGGGACTCTCACAGGTCTCGATCAGCAGGCTAGCCACGCCCAGGTCGAGCTGCTGCGACGGCCTCCAGAGAGCGCCAAGTCCGCGAGTGTGAAAAGCTTCTTTGAAGGCCTCCCAGTGAACAGGTGTGCAGCTATGCAAAGCTCCGAGCCGAGCATGGCGAGGAGGGCCTGCGTCGCATCTGGGCTGAGGTGAAGAGTTGGGTGTCAAACCCGCACAAGTTATTCCGGGCCTCGTACTCTGTCGAGTATTTTAGAGGCATTTTAGAGTGGAATGCGTGGCATTGAAAAGGGAAGCGGGAGTCAAATGCCCACATGGTGGGAAGTTGGTTGAGGAAGATTACGGGAGCAGGCCAAGAAGCAGGCCAAAAACAATGTGAAAGGAGTGGAAAAAGGGCCCGTTAGCGTAGCGTACTGACCGTACGTACGGATACTGGGAAATTATTGACCTTGTATCACAAGTTCACCACTTATAGCAAATGTGCGCCCGCTGCCTGGCCTACACGTGATTTTGCAACGGTCGAAGAAAGGGTTGACCTTATAGTTATAATCATCTAGCCAGCCCTCACTTGGCAATTTCCGGATCCCGCGTAGAAACACAGAAAACCCAACCGACAGATTCACCTCGCCAGATGGCGCCACGAACTTCTCCCAAGCCAGCTGCCTCTAGCAAGCAGACTACTCTCGGGCCTCATCTGATCAGAAGCGGCAGCGCAAAGTCGACGTCCTCCACTGCCACGACGGCCCGGAAAAAGCTCTCAGCAACAACCCAAAACGCGTCAGACAGTCGCGTCGAAACCGATGTCCTCCTTGCCATTCTGCCCGTGCATCTCCGAAACATTGCCAGCAAGCACAAGAACCACGAGTACCGAAAGTACCGGCTGCAAGACGGCGTCGAGCGGCTGTGGTTCTACGAGACGCGCGGCACCAAGGGAGATCCGGGCCGCGCCGCCATCACGTACGATCGACCCGTCCCCCTTTTTTTTTCTTTTTTTTTTTTAGCTTTCTTGTCTGCCCCTGCCACGCGACACTAACTTACCTTTCTAGTCACATCGCGACCATTCCTCCGACCACGCGCCACACGCCCGGTAGCGTGCCGGAGGAGCCAGAGGGCATCGGGAACGCCGACTTCAACGCGGGCCTGAAACAGTCTAGGTACGGGTATCCGATCCTGGGCATGCACGAGCTCGCCAAGCCCATCACGCTGGAGGAGATGAAGACGTCGTGGGGACTGCCGGCCCCGATGGGCTGGAGCTACGTGCGGAGGGGCCTCTGGGAGAGTCAATGGGGTGACGAGGAGGGGCGGGAGGAGCGCCTCAAGAAATTGTTTTGATGGGGGCTGAGGCTCACGAGAACAATGGCTTTCTATTATCAATCCAAGCAACGACAAAATCTAGCTATATGAAGAGCAGTGCAACGACACGAGGCGCGACATGGCGGCGGCGCTACTCTCGCGGAAACGGAATGGCGTCCCATCGTATGCGACGCGGGGTGGCGATCGGGGTCATAGCTGTGAGTGGTGCTGCTATGGGCTGTTGTTGCAATTAAAGCACGATGTCGGAGAGGAATGGGTTGGTGTTGCCATGACTTGTTGGCGGAGAGCCGGAAAGCGGTGGCGGCGGTGGCGGACCGGTATACTCGGGGGAGTGTGGTGGCCGACTTCATAGTCACGGAGAAGCGTGAGAACCGGCACGGAGAGGTAAACTGCCGGATGGTGGCACTTTCCCTTTTCACAATAATCCATCTTTCTTGGTTCGTTTCATTTGCGTTGGATTAATACTCGGGTTCGCAGTTGTGCGCATGGATGATGCAGTACGGGAGCCCTTCTCGATGCAGCCTGTGCCGTCAACCTCGTCAACAACGTTCCCGTCGTGCCCTCCAAGAGCCACAACGTCATCGGCACCATCCCCAGCCAGGTCGCCGACGAGGTCGTCATCGTCGGCACGCACCGCGACGGCTGCTGTGGATCGAGGCGCACCTGGACTGGCTGCGCGCCACGGCCGTCGCCTACCTCAACGTCGTCGTCGCCGCCTCCGGGCCCGTCTTCCACGCCAAGGCCAGCCCGCTGCTGCACCGCGCGCGTGCCCTCGCCGTCCGCGCCCGGCCGGTCCGTCCTGGACGTCTGGGGCGGCCACGTCGACCCGGCCGGCGGCCGCGACGCGGTGCGCTTTCAGGGCCTACCGTGCGTAGCCACCATGGACGTCGGCTTCTCGCCCGGGGTTGGCGATGCGGGTGTTTCCGTATAAATACGGGCTTCGACACGTTTGCGTGGATGGACAGGGTCGGCGACCCCCGGGCTGGCATCACCGCGTGGCGAGCGGGCGGCTGGTGAACTTGCTAGCCGCGCAGGAAGTGGAGGCGCCGGTGGTAGTTCATGAGCGCGGCGGATTACGCGGGGGCGATCCGGACGTGGCTGGGGTTCATGCATGAGTTGGGCAAGTGCTCGGCCGAGGCGGACCTCTCGGCGCTGAAGGAGGCGGTGTGGCGAGGTTCGCGGAGGCGGCGGCGCGCTTTGACGGGTACGCGGAGACGCTGCGGTCCGGATCGGCGGGCGTGGTTACGGAGGAGATCCGCGGGGTCAACAAGGTGTGCATTGCGCTGGAGAGTGAGTTTTACTACGAGGGCGGCATGGATGGATGGGCACAACAACCTTCACCATGTGCTGTATGCGCCGGCAGCCTGGCATAATGTTGCGCCGCCAATGCCTGGTCTGGACAAGAGTCTCAGGGCTGCAAATTGGGATAATTCCAAGGTGATTTGATTCATATTTTCCGTCTTTCATTCCGTCTTGGCTACTTTACGTCAATCTAGAAATGGAGGGACATCTTGATGGACAAGATTGGCAATGCTGCCGGCCTGCTTGAAGAGCATCTCTCGACCGTTAGACACCAATATTAGGTATGAACAGCAGCGTAAGGGCTGGGGTAGAATAGAAGAACTGGGGAAATCTGCAGTCTGTTTTTATCTTCAATGAATGTTGCTTGCCTGCGATTTCCGCGGAATTTACGCGCCACAGCCCTAATAATAGAAGTCGGCTGCGGTCTGAGACCTAGCTACGGATAACATACCCTCCTCATTCTATTTTTGATTTACTTCAACGAGGGGGAATCCATTCTAGGCGGGCGTCCAAGTTAATTGTGGCTGTCCTTCTTTGTCTCCGTGCATATCCGTCCCCCACCCTCATGTGATGGGGTGGGTGGGTGGTTGGTTGGTTGGTTGAACAACGCACCCGTGCAGCTGCGTCATGTCGATAGCTTTGAGAAGCCTTTAAGTGTGCCAACAAAGGTCAATAATGTGCTTCTTCGTTTGTCTTCTGGTACCTGCTTCTATAATAAGATGTCGTAACCTTGCTCAAGCTGGTGAGGGCCACATGCAGCCTGAGGTGACAGCACTATACGGTGAATCAGTGATCCCGTGGTGAAAGAAAGTGTCCTCGCCAGCCTTGAGACGGCAGACATTGCAGACCGCCACAGCCCACGTTCGCTGCCGGTCCATGCACACTGGCCGGGGTCGTGTTGTTACGGTCGTGTTGGGTCGGTCTTTCTTTCATGAGTTGGGCCCAACCCCCGGCTCTGCACAAAACCCTTCCCCCCTCTCCCGACAGAATGTGACAGTCTAGGAATCCAGAAAACGCAAACTCTTACGTTCACTTTCACGTTTATGCCCGAAGACGGAAGACGAAGATCAAGCAACGATGCAGACTGCGACAAAGACCTCGGATGCCCCCCGGGGTGAGACTACGCAGCCGGCACAGTTGGTGGAAAGAGACGCCAAGTATGTCACAGCCAACCTCGGACCGCTGGCGTCAGATTTCACACCACCCAAGGACTGCGGATACCTGTCCGTAATGAACGACAGCCTCACAGATTCGTCTTCCACCAGCTACGTGAACCTTGGCTGGGGCGTTCAGTGCGACTCCGGCGGTGGCAACTGGTGGCAGATCAAGTCCAGTTGCTATCCTTCTCGGTATGGGACGGCGTGGGAGGCCCTGAAAGGGGCGACGGCCGAAAACCTCGCCATCTACCCGCTGTTCTCACCGGCGTCCATCTGCCCGACGGGATTCCACGCAGCCTGCAATTTTGGTACCTCGCCCGTCCCGGTGGGCGCCCAAAAGAGGGCTGCGACCACGACCGCTACCGCTGCCACGAGGGACTTTGTGAGGCTGATAAACAGTATTCTGGACTCGACACAATCAGCGGTCGGCTGCTGTCCGACGTAAGTCTCAACCCCTCGAGCTCAGCGGGTGGGAGGAGGGGCTGCTTCTCTCAAGAGGATGCCCGCCTCGTCTCATCCCCATCGCGCAACAATCCCAGGGGCGAGCGAGCTGGTGCTAACATTCGAGCTGCGAGCTCTTGACAACAGTGGCTTTCGCTGTTTGAATGATTCTCCGTACATCTGTCTCTCGTCGGCGACCACCTCCTCCGTTTATGCGTACGATAACGGGTGTCCGGCAAATCCCACCGTGGCTACCTGGAAGAACGTGGCGGGGCCTGGCCGCGAGGTTTGGGCGAGAGCTGCGCTCCTACTTCTAGTCCGAGACGATACACAGTCTCAGACCAATACCGGCCCAAGCGCGTCTGTGAGCGGCACCACCTCCGGCAGCGAGGCGACGCCCCATGTCGGCGGCGGCGGCGCTGGCGGCGGTGACCAAGTCTCCGGCGGCGACGGCGGCCTCTCCACCGGGGCCAAGGCGGCCATCGGGGCCAGCGTGCCCCTCGCCGCCATCGTCGCCGGCCTCGCGCTCTTCTTCTTCTTCCGTCGTCGCTCGCGTCGCCGTGACGAGTCGTCGTCCGGGGCCGTCCAGCCCACCGACTCCTCCGCCAAGGAGGAGGCAGCGGCGGGCACAGGCGCAGCCGCGACCGCCGACTACGATCCCCGCCAGTCCGACAAGTTCTCGCAGCCGGCGTCGTCGTTCGGATTGCCGGTGCCGGATCGCGCCGAAACGGTAAGCCCCGACGCAAGCGTGAGCCGCGTATCGGAGCTGTACGGGTCGACAGCGCAGCAGGCGCGCTTACACGAGGACATAATGGAGTTGCCCGGCGAGCTCAACGCGCCGGTGGCGAGGAGGCCTATTCCTGAGGCGCCGTAATGGGTTTCTATTTTATTGAAGCGTTAGTCTCTGATTTTGTTCATTAATTAAGGGGCATTCTAATTTAATTCAGGTATCACAGTGAATTGTGGCTCTTCTTCTTTGTCCCAAGTGCATATGCGGTCCCGTACCCCTTACCTCTGCAGCTGCAGTATGCAGACATACTATGGATGGACTTTTTTGTATGTTAATAAGTATACTATGCTTGCTTCTAACTAGGTTCTTATCTATGTACTTGCGTGAAGTGGAGGTTCCATGGAGAGGGCCGTGGGGATACCATGCAGCCAGTGTGATGGGACTGGGTCGTTATTCGTGATGAAATTATTACGGCCCCTTTGTGACTGGGATGCAGAGCGCCACAGTGGCCTACCATCAAAGCCTTGTTTCCGCCTCCCGTTCCCGTGATGTGAACATGCATGAGATATGCGGGTTGGGAGGGCGGGGAGGTGGTTGGCCCAGGACCCGGCTCTGGACAAAAAACCTTCCCGTCTCCAGACACAAGCTGCCAATCTGGGAGTCGGGAAACTCGAAGCTTTGCTTTTCACAACCACATCATCGCCGCAATCAGTAGGAGAATCTTGGGGCAACGATGCAGACAACGACACGAAGAACCCCAGATGCTCCCGCAAGTGACCCTCTGCCGTTGGCAGAACGAGCCGCGCAGTTTCAAACAACCAACCTGGGAACGCTGACGCCATTCACGCAATCCGCCTCCTGCTCATCTTTGACGGTATCACGATACGGCAAGGCCGGTCCGCTTTCCACTTTTTGGGAAATCGTCTATGGCGAGAAGTGCAGCACCTTTGTTTCCGGGAGGTACATGAAGGAGCAAACGCGGCAAGTCAATACCGACTGTTACCCTTCTCAATATGCGATGGCATACACCGCCATGACCAATGCGGTCAACACCGACGCGGTCTATCCGTTCTACTCACCGGCCTCCGTCTGCCCGGATGGATTCGTCTCTGCCTGCGGATATGGACGCGAGAGCACGACACCCGCCCCATCTGTCTCCTCGTTCGCGTACGTGATGGCCCAGGTTCTACAATCACAGCAGACAGCAGTCGGCTGCTGCCCCAGGCAAGTGTAATCCCCCGATAAGTCAGCATATCAACGAAGGAAGCTCAGCTAACCAACCATTCGGGTCGACAGTGGCTATACCTGTCGCAACGACAAACCATATGGTTGCGCGTCGGTGCCGCAGTACGGCGTCACGGTTTATGCCAACGGGAACAGCCGCTGTGTTAGTAGCGATCTCGATATATGGACGGCTACGGCCTGGCACTCCAACACCATAGTTGCACTTGCTCCTGCACTGGTCCTGGTCGCGGACCAGGACCAGACCCAGACCGGGGCGACGACGACGGCCGCAACAGCGACCTCCACCACCTCCAACCAAAGCGAGACCACCGGTGGCATCGCTGGCGGCGGCGGCGGCGGCGGCGGCGGCCTCTCCACCGGCGCAATAGCAGCGATAGGGGCCAGCGTGCCTCTGGCCATCATCGCCGCCGGCCTGGCCGTCTTTGCCTTTCTGTCTCGTCGATCACGTCGACGCGCCTCGGCCGAAGAAGCGGCGGCGGGCACGAGCACCAGCGGCGGCGGCGACTCCGACCCCCGACACTCTGTCAAGACGGACTTCAGCTCGCCGGCGCCGGATCGCGCCCTGACGGTCAGCCCCGGCACGACCGTGAGCGCGGAGCTGTACGGGTCGACGACTATGCAGCCTCGGCTGCACGAGGATATCATGGAGCTGCCTGGCGAGGTCAGCCCTCCGCCTGCACCAAGGCCCATTTCCGAAGCGCCATGATGGTTTATTGATGGAGCGTTGGCTGTCTGGGCAATCCGACTCGCGCCCAATGTGGTTTGGTTGATGGATACTTTAATCTTGACTTTGACTTGTTCACTTCTTTTCTGAACTTGTTTTGTTGCAGGCGTGCAAAATAATCCAGAGTTGGCGGCAGCAATACTATCTTGCAACTGAGCAATCCGCAGCTCGGACGCTCTGCCCCCGACTTGAATACTTTTTACTATTAGGTTGCAAATTGGCGGTCGTTTACACTCGACACGATATTACTTAGCTCTCCCTAGATACCTCAGCGTAGCGAAACAACTTTGGATTTGGCATTGCAGTATTGACACTTGGGCTCAACCACCACTCTCCGGCGAGCACCTCGTGTGCGAGATCTGATTATCGCATGATTCCGTGTACGTTTGTCCGGAAAGATGGATCGATGTCATGCGGCCCGGCGACGACGACCACCACCACCCTCGCATGTATTGTGGATTTGAGGCTGGGTGCCCTTTCTGTCGAGAACCCAACAGTCTTAAACTTTCAAAAATAACCAGTCAAGCGGCAGGGTGTGGAACTCCAAGGCTGAACTTGATACGGCGCTGGTGGTGTCGGCGAGCCAAAAGAGGCAAGTCTCCCTCACTCCTTAGCCGTGAGTTGGCATAGTGCTGCCTCGTCCTTCACGCTGGACGGCTGACAACCAAGGCTAGTCGACGGAATGGATGACTGGATGTATGTATGCAAGAGAAAAAAAAGTCCTGGGTGGGAGGTCCCGCCTATTTATGCTTTGTGGCTTCCGCGCAGCCCTGTGAGTCACTAGGTGAGAAGATCGTCACCGGCATGCTTGATGAGGAAAAGCGCCCGGAGCCATGACGCCGCACATCACAGGATGGATTGTCTCGTCCGCTTCAAGGGTCGTTTTCTTCATTTCCAATAACCCCAACGCGTGAGGCGAGGTGCGCGGGCATCAGGTACAAGTACGCCTCTGTCCTCTGCCTCTCGCCCGGGTCAAATCCTCCTCTCTCATCCTCCCGTCTTCACGCCCAAATCTCACCCAGAGTCATCGTCTGTCCCACCCAAGCGCCCCTCAAGCACTACTCGTACAAGCCCGAGCAAGTCGATCGCGTCAACCCCCGCCGCGAAACCCTCCCTCTCGCCATCCACCCGCCCAAGTCCTCCGAGTGGTCCGCCCGCTTCGCCCTCCTCGAGGCCGACATCCGCGCCGCCCTCGGCCCGCTCGCCCTCGCCGTCTCCCACGTCGGCTCCACCGCCGTGCCCGACCTCCCCGCCAAGGACATCATCGACATCGACCTCACCGTGCCGGACGTCACCGACGAGGCCGCCTACGTGCCCGCCCTCGAGGCCCGCGGCGGCTTCCACTTCCGCAACCGCGAGCCCGCCTGGCACGGCCACCGCTTCTTCGTCCGGTACAGCGAGAACTGGTGCAACCTGCACGTCTGGGGGCCCGGGTGCGCGGAGGCGACGCGGCACCTGCTGATGAGAGACTGGCTGCGCGAGCACGAGGAGGACCGCGAGGCGTACGCGCGGGTGAAGCGCGAGGCGGCGGCCGCGTCGAACGCGGTGGGCGAGACGGTGATGGACTACAATGGGAGGAAGGAGGGCTGGATCCGGGACTTTCTCCGGCGCATCTTCATCGCAAAGGGCTACATGACCGAGGACGGGCAGCCTATCCATAGAGATTGAGGCGGATAGCAAGGTGGCAACACACCTACACAGGACACAAAACGGGCAAGACTGGTAGCCTCTAGCTGTTTTTTTTCTTTTGCGGGTAAAGCTCAACATGATTCATTCGAGGTTTGCTTCGCTAGGAGTCTGGGCTTGCTCTTAAATCCGCAGGCTACCTAAAAGTCGTCCACCCATCGCACCGGCTCGGCGATGGTCGCGTTCACCCAGCCTCGCTTCTGCGGCTTGGTGAAGCCGCCGCAGGCATCTGTCGTGATGCAGACGTTGCGCTGGCAGCACGTGCCCACGGCGCAGACGCTGCCCAGCGGGCAGTCGGCGCTGGTGCCGCAGTCGGCGAGGCCGCTGCACGGCGTCTGGCCGTTGACGCAGAAGCCCTTGCCGCCAGTGATGGAGGCGCAGACGCAGCTGCCGCCGGGGCCGCAGGAGCCGAAGCTGCCGCAGGTGCTGCCGGTGCACGAGTTGAAGGAGCACGCGCCGTTGGTGCAGGATCCGGAAGGGCACTGTGCAAGGTCAGAATCATCCTCTTACTTGAGGGGGGGCAGCGATGATGGACTTACGTGGAAGTAGCAGCTCCCGCAGTTCTCGGGGTCGTTGTTGGTGTCGACACACTTGTCGCCGCAGGCCGTCTTGGTCTTGTCGCTGCACTTGCAGTCGCACATCTCCTTGGTGGCCGCCGCGAAGGCGTCCTTGCCGAAGAACTGGACGGCGAGGTAGTACGTCGACGCCGCGCCGTTGCACGCCAGGAACAGCAGCGGCGCGGCCGCGAACTTGGTGCACGACTGCACCATGCAGCTCAGAAACTTGGAGTTGCAGGGGCTGAACTCCTCGCTGCAGGTACCGTAGCAGATGTCGTGGCCGTTGCAGCACTCGCCAAAGGACAGGTCCGGCACCTTGATTCCGTCCTTGGCGCCGCAGCCGTTGGCCGTCGGCGTCAGCCCGTTGGACACGGCCGTCTGCCCGGACGGGCAGCGCTGGCCGGGCGGCGCGCCGTGGACCTGGGACGGGATGATGTAGAAGCCCTCGGGCACGGGGATGTCGCGCTTAGTCTTGGGGCTGCTGCCGCCGTATGTGGCGGCGACGCGCTGGTCGGTTGTGATGGAGAAGTGAAACTCGCTGCCGCCGGCGATGCCCGCGACGAGGCGGCCCTTGCAGGTGAAGGAGAAGATGGAGGTTACATACTTGTCATCTCCGTCCCCGGTGTAGGTCTGGCCGTTAGAGCTGTTTAAGTCAGCGAGGGCTTCCCAACTTCAAGAGACGAAAGACGGGAAAATGCGGCGCTTACCTTGTGCTCACGAAGCCAACCTTGCCGGACTTGTAGACGGCCAGATATTGAGGCGCGCCATCGGCAACCAGCTGGATATCATAGACACTATAAAATGACTTGGGTTATAATGTGGAAACGTAGACAAGTAGATGAGAGAAGCATACCCGTTGGGAGCGCCGGATGCCTTAACCGTCTTGTAGCGGACAGGTACCCAAGGACCCTTGATCTCCTGGACAACCACTGCAAGGCTGCCATTCTTGATTATGGGCAGGGCCGACGTGGGATCGAGAAGGTCAAAGTCGCCCTCCGTGTCGGCCGGGTCCAGGACGCAGCCGTCGTAGGTGGAGGGGACAGGCGGCGTGTAAGTCGGGCCAGGGACTTGGGTGACAGTGGTGGTAACGACAGAGGTCTGAGGGCAGAGATTAGCCGCAGCTCTCTTAAATCCAGCATGGATAAACATGGATAAACTTACAGGATGGACCGTAGTGGTACCAGCAGTGATGCCCCAGCACGAGCAGGCGCTTGAGTAGCGGCTTGTACCGGAGCAGGCGGAGGCATACGACGGTACCGTCATGTCGCGGTTCATAACAGTGACATCGGAAGCCTTGGGGGCGCCAGTAATTGTCACAGTGTTTGTCACCGTCCTAATTACTCAATGTTAGCCATGCTTCTTTTTCTTTCGATTTTCTCCGTTTTGTTGGCTGCTGTGGGTAAAGACTTCACCCCGGAGCACTTACACGACACTACCAGTCACCGTCTTGGTCATGAAGCGGCTGCAGTCCGCCTTGGCTGTAGTCTCGAAAGCATCACCGCGACGCGTTCCCGTCACGGCTCGGGCGCAATTGTCCGAGTTGCAGTCGGCTGAGACGCCATTCAAGAGCAGCGCCAGAGGCACACAGACAGCCTGGAAACGCATGATGGGTGGGTGTTATCGTTGATGCAGTACTGATGAGCGCAAGACAAACTGGTCTGTCTGAACCGGTCTGTCACAAAACGGAGCTACATCTTTTGACGGGCTATTTAAGCATTTTCTTATGCTTTTCCGTCCGCTGACCGGTTCGGGTTGACATGAAATATTGCATGTCCGTGCAGTCGCCCGATTTGGAAATATTCGGCACAGGTACGGTACGCTGCAGTATACAGCTCGGGTCAGCTCCAAAAGCCACAGCGAGCCGTCGCTTGGCTAATATATATTATTTCAGCCCCGGGGAGGCGTCGCTCCGCCCCCGAGCGCGTCATGCGAAGGCCCAGACCCAGAACCGGCCTCGCTTCTACTCTACTTGGTTCTGCGGGCCGTCGGGAGAGGGGACCTGAAATCGGCATCGTCAGCCTTGTAACGCCTGACGAAACAGCCTCGCTTTTGGGCAGCGTGTCCCGGAATCTGCCCGGCCAAGCTGGAGCTGGATTGGACCTGTCGCAAACCTTCTAGATAGAGTTAAACTTGCGGGCTGCAGCTGAGCTGAACATAATCTGCTTGGGCTGCGTGTGGTTCTGTTCGGATAGTAAAGCGTTCATTGTCTATTATTGGAGCTGGATGTGCGGGTTACACCCGCGCAAGACAATGCGGATATTGGTTTAGGAAGAAGGGTTGCCAACACCAAGAAAAGAAGGAAAAAGAAGATGGGGAGAGAGACAAATATTTAATAATAGCAACTGAGAATGCGTTGCATTTGCTGTCTTGAGACAATTTGGACCCATTCTGCAAGTCGCGCAAGTGTTTATGCAGCCAAGCCCCCATATTACCTCTGAAAAGGGATCACCGTGCTGAGCGGAGGCAACATCGTCAGTTCCGATTGATGCAACTGCCGTGCATTTGCAGAGTCCACCGAGGGGGGGTTTCCGCAATCGATATCCCGGTACGCCTTTGGACAGGCAGCAGGCGCCTCTGCCCAAGCCAGTCAGTGCCTGACACTATTCCAGCGCGTCCGAGCCCACACATGTGCTTCTTCCGGAGCACCATGAAGAAGGTTATGCATACCCGTGTGCGGCACAGGCTCGTCAAGGTGCCGCCTCGTACTTGACCTCGCGATGCTCGCGCGCCGCCGCCGCCCACGCAGCATCTCGATCCCTAACCCCGTCCCGCCAGTCCAGCACCATCTTGACCTCGCCAAAATAATTCACGTCGCCCTGCTGCGCGAACCCCAGCTTCTCAAAAAGTCCGCGGCTGCCCCTGTTGCCCTGCTGGATCTTGACCATCAGCGCCCGCAGGCTGCGGTTGCCGGGCTGCTCTTCCAGGACCGCGTCCAGGTGCGTCTGTATGTACAGCAGCAGGTGACGCACGGCGGCTTCGCCGTAGCCGCGGCCCCGGTGCTCCTTGGCCGCAATCATGACGTCCACTTCGCCGATGAGAGCATTATCAGTGCCGCCGCCCTGGCCCTCTTCGTCATCTGCGTAGAGGAAGAAGTTGACGTCGCCGACCATGCGCGCGCTGGCGTCTTGCTTCTGCGCAGTGATGGACGTGTCTGCGGTTGTGGCGGGCTTGCAGATGATGAATGTGAGCTTGTCGGCAGACGTGCGCCACGACTGCTGGTTCTCGTACTCTTCTTCCAGCGTCATGGGCTCCGACGCCGTGGCTTCTCGGATGTCCTAGAGAAAGGGCCCGTGGTGAGCACACGATTGGTTCAGGCCTGAGAAGCCCAGCTGGTCACATACGTACGGGGTCCTGCATCCAGCCGTGGTACTTGACCACATGGTGCGCCTCGTAAGGCACGAGCAGCGCCCGTGCTCCAGATATCGCTGTCCGGTGGAGTCAGCGTCCATCTGGATGCAATTGCATAACACTTGGAAAGTAATAACTATACCTGTATGCTGATTTATCCTCATGCTTGGCTGGCGATGGGTGAACAAACAGAGATGGGAAAGTCTGAGAGGCATCCACTTTCGTGGATATCGCTACAGGCAAAAATGCAATTAACGAAGCACAAACGGTGCATCAACCAGCCTAGCCAACAAGGTCTTGAAAGTGCAGTTACTATCAAAGCTTAAATTGAAACCAAATAGTACAATTGCTCAATGCCCAGGTGCGTCACAACTGCCGAGTCGATTGATGCATTTAGCATAACCATAGTTGGGATCGCAGATATCCTTGCACGTCTTCGTGACCACGAACCGCCCATTGTCACACTTGCGAATCTTGCCCGGGCCGGCCTCCACGTCGCAGTACGAGCGCCCCTCCTGCACGCCGTCCGGGCACTTGACATCCCAGCCCTCCGGGAGGCAGACGGCGTGCCCGCCGTTGCTCTGGCAGACGCCGTCGCAGAAGCTCGTGACCGGGAAGCGCCCGTCGGCGCCGCAGACGCGGATGCCGCTCGGCCCGCCGTCCCGGACACACCAGACGTTGTAGCTCGGGTTCTTGTCGCACTTGTCGTCCCAGCCCGAGAACTCGCAATAGGCGCTGCGGCTGCCCGTGTTGACACACCGCCCGGGGCAGTGCGAGATGGGCAGCCCGGCCTGCTTGCTGTTGCAGTACAGGATGTCGCTGGCCGCGCCGGCCGTCTGGCACCACCGGTCGCCGGCCTTGTAGCCGGCCGGGCAGGCCACGTCGTCGGCGACGGAGAGGTCGACGAGCAGGACAGCGGCGGCAGTCAAAGACAGCTTCATGGTGAGGTGATGTTGATCGAAAAGATGGGGAAAAGAGTGTTGCGAATTGGGGTAACTATTTAAAACTAATCTGAGGCTTTGGGGACATCGGCCCTATTTGTACAAATATCGGCGACATATCTCGCGGAGGCCAAAGCCTTGCCCGAAAGTGCAGCTGGCGCGGGGTAGCATCGTCTCAGCTGAGCGACTCAGCCTTATGCCATTCCTAGGCTGCAAAAGAATCTATTTGACGAGCAACTAATAAAGTAATAATAGACCGAATACGGGCACACCCGACACCATCGATTGCAATCCGGCTACGATGCCACCTTAGCAGCAAGCAGGCTGGGAATCAGGCTGAGAACAGGAACCTGTGCAAAGTAGAACGGAAACAGAGAAGAAGGAAAGAAAGTAGAAGAAGAAAATAAGAAGAATGAAGGGGAAATGAAGGGGAAATGAAGGGGGAAAACAGCAGTGCACTGTTGGCGACTCAGATGTCGAATCGGGCGAGGGTGCCAGTGCCTCTTCTGCTGCATTCTCACAACTCGACAACGATGGGTTCGCGCAGGTCACTTTTGGGACCATCACTGACTGCTGCATTAACAAAGAACGTATCGTCGCCTCGCGACAGACCAAGGAGGGAAGCGACACTGGGCTTCACGGCAGACTTGGCCAAGCGCAGAACGTCTCGCCATTCAGCCGACCCCGCCGCCTTCATCTTCTCGAACTCGCTCTGCGGCTTATCGTACAGGATTCTCTCGCAGCCGTAGCCGGTGGGTATGTGCCCGAACACGTGCAGCCGCGGCCGGACGCGTCCAATCTCCGCGGCCAGGTGCGGACAGCCCGCGTGGTCGTCGCCGGTTCCGTCCTGGTGGTACTTCGGAGGGCCGTGGGTGACGACGATGTCTACCTGGCCTGCTTCAACCGAGCTGAACTTGGTCTTCAAGAACTCCGCGTCGCTTGGGTCGTACTGAAACGCGAATTTCCCTCCGCGGTTTGGCGTCCAAGGGCTGCCAAAGATTCTGAGTGTTCTGCTGGAACCCTGTTGGTCCTTGCTGTCGTGGCCGAGCCCAGGCTTGGAAAAGCGGAGGGTAATTGGCTTGCCGTCTTCGAGATAATAGACTTTGCTCCAGTCCATGTCGGCCTTTGTCTTCGCGTGGCGGTATTTGGGGTCGGGATGATCCTTCAGATACTCATCGTCGAGAAAACGATCAAGGTTTCCGGCGACCACGACTTTGTATTTGTGCGGCAATTCATCCAGCCAGTGTATTTCCTCCTGTATGGCTTCGAACGATCCGAGCTCTGTCAAATTGCCAGCATGGATCAAGAGATCGCCATCCGGAACCTCTGGATACCTGTCGCACGTGCCGCGCGTGTCGGAGATGCAAACGACGCGTATAGGGAACTCTTTTGGCTTTTCGGGTGGCAGATGAGTATTGGCACGATGGCTCTCGATCAGGCGCTCGGCCCAGCACTGCTGACGAGTCTTCTGCGACTGGGTTTTGGCGGTATCGGCCATTCTCGCGTATGCTTCTAGTTCGTTGCTGGTAATGAAAGGTCTGAGTTATCTCTCTCAATTCACATGTAGATGGAAGATAATATACAGCCGCCCGTCTTTGTCTCGTTCTTGGGCAACCGGCGCACCAACCATACTCGGGGCGGACTGTAACATGCCGTTGCAAAGGGAAGTTGGGAGCTTTCATGAAACACTCTGTCAACGTGATACGGGTCGGTTTAGACAGCTCAGTGATGACAAAAACTTCAAAATATGACCGAATATGAGTTCTGAAACAAACGTCATGGTCTGGCCGGCCTGCCTCGGGCCACTTGCTGGCCTGCGAGGTGACCTATGCCGATAGGCAACCACTCCATGCAACGTCATGGCGCAACTCCCCGGTGCGATCAGCTACTAAGAATATTTTCTTACATCCGCCTTCGTTAGGGAAAACGAGAGGAGGCGGAGCAAAGGATCCCGCCTTGTTGAACTACAACACAGACACCCTCCATACTGCCCTACTGCCCCCTTCATTCCCCCTATCAAATTCTCGCTGTTACTCCAAGTCTTTCCGTTGCTTCCCATCAGTAAACATGGGTAACCGTCATTCTCAGCCCACGAAAGGTTCCGCAACCATCGATGGCAGGGCAGTCCTGCAAAGTCATCTCTGGGCCACCCAAGCTTGGTTGATCCCTGTGCCATTGCCTCGCGAGGACCAACACGGAAAGCCGATGAACACGCTGAGATGTTTCAAGTACATGGACCGAAGGACTTTGATCGCCGCGCTGGATCATGTTGCGAATCGGATTGCTCAAAGCGACGGGAACGTCACTATCGTGGCCGTCGGTGGCGCTGTCAACACTCTGCACCTCCGGTCCAGAGCCCAGACCCACGAAGTTGACTTTTTTGGCACCTGCGCTGACAACCATGATCGCGTCCTCCTAAGCGAGGTAATCTATTATGCACACGTTCACTGCCGCAACCTTGGACCACAATGGCTGAACACGGAGACAGAGGAGGACTTGCAACGGCCGCTTCACCACTCGGCGACCTTGGAGGCCCTTGCACAGAATGTCAAGGTGTTTGAGGCACCACAGTCTATGCCGCCCCATGGTCATACGCCTTTTCTGCCAAAAACCACTGGTTGCTAGTCGGGACGCCTCGGCCGTATGATCTTGATGGCGCCGTGAGTTACAATTCACGCGTACATCCGCAGCCACGAAAATCGGCCAGTCGAAACATCGACCGTGCTTGATTGGGCTGCATACTACAAAACGAAGGAGATAACCCAGTCCCTTCGAGCAGAGGTGAATGCAGCCTACAACCGAAAGTATGGAGGCAGCGCCTTGATTTAAGCCGTTGATCTGGAGGGTCATTTTTCTTGGCTGTCTTGAAACGGTCGGGTCGGAACTTGGTGGCATGGGGAACATTGCGTTGTGTATTTTGTATTTTTCAGCTATCTGGATGCCAAGCTATGTTGAGTTGCTTGGCTAGAGTGTAAAGAAATGAGAAAACGAGTGAGAAAACAAGTGAGAATGATTGTTGCAAAGTATCGGTACATGGAGATTGACTGTGAAGCAGAAAACTCCATCGAGGCCCTGCTTTGTAGACACTAAGCCACACTCACCAATCTCGGGACGAAGTAGGAATTGTTGAATTTACTGCGCGGGTCATTACCAAGATGTTCAATTTCCGGAAGTATTCATCGGCCCCTTCATCCTCGAACCCCTTCATCCTCGAACCCCTTCGTCCTCGAACCCCTTCATCCTCGAACCCCTTCACCCACGAACCATTCTGTGGCATGGGGATCGGTTTCTTCGGGGGTGCGACAGCAGCCGCCCAATCCGGCACCTCTTCCAATATTTGCTCCTTCTTTTCGTTTTCTTCCTTGTCCAAGTGTTGCTGGACAGGCCGCAGATAGCCCATGTCGGTACACTTGTTAGAGGTGTCCCTCTGCTCCATGGAGGGCTGTTCCATGGCGGGCTACTTTTTGGCGTGCAGCAACTGTTTGTGATCCGATAGTTTCATGGTTGAGGATGGTATAAAAAGGCAAGGCTAAGTATGAAAAGAAATGTTGAGACAGAAGGATCAAATCTTCGGGCGATTGGTGCCCTTGTTACCAGGTATTCGTCCAAACGTCAAAAGGAGTTTGGGTTTGTCGTATATTTAGAGCGTTGTCGACGTGGAGCGTCGGTAGCAATAGAAGCTGCATACGAGCCCTGCAAAAGTGACGGGCTGCGCTTCATTGAGCTTGAATGAAAGTACGGGATCATGATGGCCAGTGCGAGATTTTGCTTTCTATGTTGCCGGTAGTTATCACGTTGTAAAACAAGCGCTATCACTACCTATAGTAGCCCCAAGGTGAACCGTCTTTGACAATAAATGCAGTCAAAGGATTCTTGGACAATAAATGCTATCAAAGAATTTTTGGAGAATACATGCTGTCAAAGAAAAGGTGTGAAAGGGCAACCGACGGGAGATGCATGCGCCAATATTTTTTATTGTTCTTCTACCTCTCTTTTAATAATGCAGGGCGCGCGTCACCCATACTGTGGCCTCCAGGTACAACAGACATGTGGCCACGGAGCACTTACGTGTCCTACCTACAGAGTACTAACTAATCAAGCTTCATCTGTTCTTACCTGCATACATAGTTACCTATGTCATCAACCCGCCTCTCCCATCCACCTTTGATACATCACCATCACAATGCCCACTCTGCTAGATAACACCCTCAAATCAAAGGTAAATTGGCCCTTGTGCTGCGCGCCATGTCCCGCCCTTGGAAAGCTGGAAGCTAACCCTCGTAGAACATGGTCCTTGGTAAGTCCCGACAACGGGCTGTCGCACTCACCCACCCACCTGACTTGCTGTGTAGCCTTCGGAGGCGTTGTGGTTGCTGCTACAGCGTGGATGCTCGCTGGCGACTTGTTTCCCCCTGACGAGGATCCCAAGGGCGACCCGGAGACATGGACGAGGGAAGAGATGCGGAGATGGCTAGAAGCAGTCAGTTGCGCCCCTGTTCCGTCCCGTCCGTAACGCTCAGAGATGCTGACAATGAATGCAGCGCAGCCTCTTCCCCAAGTCAAGCGATACGCGCGAGGAGTTGCTTGCTCGGGTCCAGGCAAATCTTAGAGTGCCCCGCAAGTAGCCGTGGCGAGCATTGTGCCTGCGTCTGGATATCTGTACAACGCTTATTACGCGCAGGTGGTTTCGCTTTTCCAAGCACACAGCTGCTTATTAGGCCGCACCTTCCAACAACGGATGAAAGAAGCCTGGAGTTGTTTCAAGGCAGCCAGATGAGAGTAAAAATGGGAATGTCCCCATTGAAGAGTTATCGGATAAATTCGAGTCGATGGGGTGTAATCAGACGGCAGATATAACCTTCAGTCAGCGCAAAGCTCTTGACTCGTAGGTAACCAACCTTTCCATTTGGTTGCAGGTCTCGTCATAGTCATCACTGCCACATGGTAGTAATGGATAATGACTTTTGCTCAAGTGCGTCCCCTATCTTGATGGGCACCCCGCGCACCGAGGAACCGAGTTGCCTTGTTGATACTGGATTAGAGTGCGGCTAGTAACTACTACCTATACCCATAACGCCTTGTATTAAGAGGGCCCTGATAGACTCATAGTTGATTGAAAATGCAGGGTCGGCACCGGCAGCCGGAAAATTCTAGCGACTTTGGGAATAGCAAGTCCCTTGGCCTCCTTAGTAATATCGCGGGGCGGCTGTCGGAGGCCACACTAACAACTTTGTGTGTACAAGCCGGCGCCGGCTGTTAGTATCTTGTCGGCCAGTCGGGGCGGAGCATGGCAGCCACTGGGTCGAGCCAGACTGATAACGCCATTTTCGCCCCAGAGCACTCAACTCCAATCTTGACAAGCTAGACGGCAGACTCGGAAAGCCATCAATCACGCAAGATCCCCCGTTCCTGTTTCGCCTCCCTGTCCATACCACGATCCTCGTATATTGCGCGCCGCACCGCCCGATTCTTCAACATTGTCTCTCGGAATCTCCCCTGCCCTTGTCTCGCAGCAAACTCGCCCCTGCTCTCGCGTGCTCTCCATCCAAAACTCTGTCCTTCATTGCGACACAGAGCGTCGGTTCGATCGGGCTCTCAAGACTTGTTTCAACCTTGATCAGACGCCCCTGTCATTTCATTCCAGAAGCCTTACGAATAGTGATTACGAGTCAAGCCGTTTGCAGCATTGTTAGGTTCCCCAAGCCGTTGACGCCATCCGGCGCTGACACGCCGCAACCCTGACCACCCGCCCTTTGCCTGCGCGACCGAGACGCAGAGCACGCCATTCCACCCTCTGCCCGCCTCAGCGCCCGCAGCAGCCGATGACTGGCCCTGCCCTGCAGCTACGCCATTCTTAAAGGACATGGCGGCCCTGCCTCACCGCATCCCCTTGGAAATGACACAAGCAACCGACGCCGACGCTGCCCTACTGGCGTCCTCTGGCCCAGACAACAATGTAGCCACCCGAGGTTACCACCAACAACCCGCCTCTGCGACCTCTCCTCACACTCAACACAAATCCCACCCTTCTCGAGACAACTGTGATCGAAGACGACCTGCGGAGGAGGACCACTCCCGGCTCAAGAAGATGCCTTCGGCGCTGGTCGGTAAGACCGTCAGTCCGTTTCTCAAAGAGCACATCCCGGGCCTTTATGCACCTGTTGGCAAAGACTTCCAAGATGAATCTTCCCACACACCGCCAGTCGCCGTTCCAAGAGATGCCAACACTCGATATTGCTACCGACATCGTCCCGACTCCAAGTGTCGGCGGACAGCAGATGAAACGAAAATGGGCATGATTCAAAGGGTATGCATGCAGCCCGCAACCAGTCAACTCCATTAAGTCGTGCTGATAAATCTGTAGGATCTAAACAGTCTCTCCGCCGCCGATCAAGAAGCAATCACGCACGTTTGGTCGCTCTTCTCGGCCGCGCCCGCCAAGCACCGAGAGCTTATGCTCCAGGGCATCATTACACAATGCTGCTTCCCACAACTCTCGACCGTCTCCCGCGAAGTACAAGAGCAGTTGAAGATCGACTTTCTGACAGCCCTCCCGACGGAGCTGTCGTACACGATTCTCTGCCACCTTGACACAGTGTCTCTGTGTAAGGCTGCCCAGGTCAGCCGTCGCTGGCAGAACCTTGCAGACGACGATGTGGTCTGGCACCGCATGTGCGAGCAGCATATCGATAGAAAGTGCACCAAATGTGGCTGGGGCCTGCCTCTGATGGAAAAGAAGAAACTCAAGGCATGGAGCCGCCACCAGCACACGGCGCATGGCAGGGAAAGCGAATCGACCACCACTGCCGACGAGGTCAACGGATCCAACAAGCGCCCTCTAGAAGACGACGCCTCCTCATCAAAGCGCCAACGTCTCGATGGCGCGGGCCCGTCGACTTGTCTAGAAACGGAGCGCAAGTTCCGTCCGTGGAAGGACGTTTATCGCGACCGCTTCAAGGTTGGATTCAACTGGAAGACCGGCCGCTGCACCATCAAGACTTTCAAGGGCCACTCGAACGGCGTTACGTGCCTACAGTTTGATCAAAACATCCTAGCTACCGGCTCGTACGACACTACGATCAAGATTTGGAACATTGAGACGGGCGAGGAGCTACGTACGTTGCGCGGCCACACAGGTCCCGTGCGAACTTTGCAATTTGATGACAGCAAGCTCATCAGCGGCAGCTTCGACAAGACGATCAAGATTTGGAACTGGCAGACTGGGGAGTGTCTGAATACGCTTCAGTGTCACACCGAGGGTGTCCTGTCGGTACATTTTGACAAGGGCACGCTGGCGTCGGGATCGATTGACAAGACGATCAAGATCCTGTGTTTTGACACAAAGCAAACGTTTTATCTACGCGGCCACACTGACTGGGTCAACCATGTCAGACTCGACACTGCCTCTCGAACTGTATTTTCGGCGTCTGACGACTTGTCTGTCAAGTTGTGGGACTTGGATACGAAGCAGTGTATCAAGACCTATCTGGGTCATGTCGGGCAAGTTCAGCAAGTTCTTCTCATGCCCCCCGACTTCGAGCCCGATGAGGTTCCCAACCAGGATGACAACGATACCGCGTCTGTGCGGAGCAGCCGGAGCGTGACGCCGACGCCGTCGGCCCAGGTTGATCGTTCCGTCTTTGGCCCCGGATTCGCGTCAGACTCGCGACCGCTGCCGCCGCGGTACATGTTGACGGGCGGCCTCGACAACACTGTGCGTCTGTGGGACATTGCGACGGGCAAATGCATCCGCAGCATGTTCGGCCACGTCGAGGGCATTTGGGGCCTGGTGGGCGACACGTTGCGCGTCGTGACCGGCGCCAACGATTCGATGACGAAGATTTGGGAGCCTCGCTCAGGAAAGTGCGAGCGAAGCTTCACAGGTCACGCCGGGCCGGTGCAGTGTGTCGGCCTTAGTGACTGCCGGATGGCGAGCGGAAGTGAAGACGGCGAGGTGCGCCTTTACAGCTTTGAGGGCGAGGCGACAGAGGAACGGGGAACACCCTCGTGAACTATGTCGACGTTATGACTGGCAATGTTTGTGATTTTTATATGTTGATTTTGGGGAGTTTTTTTCTTTTTTTTGCATTTGGCGTAGGAACGGCATGGCCACTGAATTATATACCGGATACCCTTTGTTGTCCTGTACAAGGCCCAAACCAAAAAAAGAAGGCCAATGTTGTTTGAGAAGGATGATTTTTCTCGACATGACAGGCAAGGGCAAAAACACTAGAGAAGATATCGACAGTCATTGTTGGGGCCATGTGCATTTGGGGATAAAGGGGTCGCAGATGGGGAAATGCGAACGGCCCGAGTCTCGGAGAAGTGTGCGGTGGAACGGGATGGGATAAGGGATAGATTTGCTTTGAATTATGGCCCAGGCCAACAAGATATGAATGAACTCACTTCTTGGTAGAAGATTGTGGTGCTCTGTCACATGTGAATCTCAATGGTGCCTGTGTTGGCCATTTTTAGTGGCCCAGCAATGACTGTGGCGTTTGGGGTCGCGTGTCCCGGCTGGATCGCGCGCCGAACACGTTGGAAAGCCTGGTGAGCTTGGATATGGGAATGTAGAATCAACTTTTGGCACCGTTAAGACGAACCGGACCCTCGTTCCGCTACGATCTCGTTCCGTCAAGAAATGGTGGCGCAGGGCTGCAGTGATTTGGCCGTGGTGGCTCTCTTCAGGTTGTCAAATAGATGCGTGCTTGCATTGTGCAATGCGAACTCGGGGGGCCATTGGTCCCGATCAGCCTCCGTGCTGGGTGTTACAGAAAAGAAGGAATGCAATGCCGGCCAATGCGATGCGATGCAATGCGGGCGCATTTCCGTCCTTGGAGGCGGCGATAGCGCCCCGGAGTCCGGTCGGAGCTCCGCTGCTTGAACCGGAGTTTTCCAGGGCGCGCAGTAACAACACCCCCAGACAAGGTCGGCCCCATACCGATGACGGTTCGCGCAACAAGTCGACGCTTTTGGTTTTTAATGTTTTGCGCTTCCCGAGGTTATTGATGGGATAAAGCGGGTAAAGATCGAATCTCGGGAGGAAGTGACCTTTGGAGGATCTCAACCTGCGAAAGGACAAAAAGCAGCTGAGATACCTCGGCAAAGTGCGTTCCCCAGCTTTTTCTTGGGCTCTTCCGCGGGTGAAACGGTCTTTTGGGTGAGATGGCGGCGCCAATACAAGTGGCATCGGAACGGCTCGGGGGTTCGTCTTGCGCTGGTAATTACTTTAGCTACTTGTGTTTGCTGCCTTGTTATTCTTATTATGGACAGCGTCGGCAGGAAATGAGGCCAAACCTGATGGTCTCCTGGAAAAGGACCCGCTAGCTCGGCTTAGAGGATGAAGTACTGTATGCGCCAGGTAGTTGGTGACCAATTTCATCGTGTACTGTTGCGGGTGCCCTTGCTTCAATGTCCATCTGTTACCCAACGTCGAGGGGAGCCGACGATATCATTTGGTAATGGTCATAAAGCGTGCGGGAAAAAGTCGACAGGACTGCCACCGTAAATAAGCATACAGGCAGGCAGGGATGCTCAGGCACCGCCTTACAGCCAGACAAGAAAAGGCGGTTTAAAAAAAAAAAAAACATCTCGCCACTTATTTAAGCTAACACAATTAGGCGCCTTTCTTAACATTTTAAAGGCCATTCTCTTGGCAGGCCTAGCTATGAGACGCCGTTGTAGTAAGCCCTCAGCAAACTGTGGAGAGGGTGAGGTGATGTACATAGATGATGCCCGGTGCATTGGTTCATCTGACTGAGAAGTGGACGTGAGAAATTCTACTGGCTCTTCTTCCTCTGCCAAAAAAGAAAAAAAAAAGCGCTCGGAAAACGAGGAAGTTCAGAAGGCGTCGCTCCTCCAGCCGAACATGCAATGCCCTTTGGTCCGACCCGGTAGCGCCCGGAAAGTAACAAGACCATCTCGCAAACAAAGGAGGGCGCGCGCGCGCTCCAGCCAATGCGGCTCAAGAGAAATCACCAGCAAAGGCCAAAAAGGCCGGGGTTTTTCTCCCCTCACTCCCCTCCCTTACGCCATAAGTTTAGTTTGCCTGGGCGGCGGGGGAGGAGTGAGGGACCCAGAATCATATGCTAAAAGTAGGGATAGTTTGGGGCAAGGCCTTGCTTGTCTGTGTGAGTGATGCGTAGTCGGGCTGCATGTGCTCCAAAAAAGGTCAAAGCCAGGCTAATATCGGAGAGCCGGTGACTGTACCGTACCTTTTCTCGTCGAAGCCGGCTGTTGCAACTCTTTCCTTCTTCTCCTTCTCTTCTTGTCTGTTGAACATTGTCATCTTGTCGCCGTCCTTGAACCTCTCCGCTCTCCTGGTTTGTTGACAAGAGAACCGTGTTGGCTGCTGTTTTGTTTCCTTGCCTGCCTACTTGTTGTTCTACTCGCCCTTCCTCTCTTCCGAACCGATCCCTCGGCCCGGCCAGCGTCATTTCTTCCCTCGTCGCAACAGACCAAGAAAAAAGTCGCGTCTTTTTCTACTTGCTACAAATCGTCGCATCGACGATACCGAGCCTTGCGCCAGTCCTTTCTCTCTCCTTCGCCCTCGACACATCCGCCAGCTCTCTCCCCTCCACTTCCACAGCAATGCCGAGCCAAGCCGCCGACGGCAAGAGGAAGCCGCCCACGGCGGCTGTCAACCTGATTGGTACATTACTGCGCCTTTCCAATGCTGTCGCAAGCTGAAAAAAAAATCGAATCCAGTCAATTGGCTAACATTTCTCCCAGCTGGTGGCTCTGCCGGCATGATGGAGGCCCTCGTGTGCCATCCCCTCGGTAAGTTTGTTGCTGGAATTCCAGGCGCAGAGAGAAGCTCGGCGGGCATTTTTCCCCACACACCCGATCGCGGGGACCGCGGCACAACGGTCATGCGACAGGCAGTGACATGCTCTTGAGGAAAAAGGCCCAATTGGCATCCCTGTCGCGAGGGAGAAATAAATATTGAAGAACAAAAAAAGAATCACCGACAAAAATCACTAACATGCCTCCTCAGACACCATCAAGGTCCGGATGCAGCTCTCCCGCCGCGCCCGCGCCCCCGGCGCCCCCCGCCGCGGCTTCGTGCGCACCGGCATCGAGATCGTCCAGAAGGAGACGCCCCTCGCGCTGTACAAGGGTCTCGGCGCCGTGCTGACCGGCATCGTGCCCAAAATGGCGATTCGCTTCACCTCCTTCGAGTGGTACAAGCAGCTGCTCGGGGACCCTACCACCGGCACCGTCTCCGGCCGGGGCGTCTTCCTCGCCGGCCTCGCCGCCGGCGTCACCGAGGCCGTCGCCGTCGTCACCCCCATGGAGGTCATCAAGATCCGCCTGCAGGCGCAGAGCCACTCCATGGCCGACCCGCTCGACGTGCCCAAGTACCGCAACGCCGCCCACGCCCTCTACACCGTCGTCCGCGAGGAGGGATTCGGCGCGCTCTACCGCGGCGTCTCGCTGACCGCGCTCCGCCAGGGCACCAACCAGGCCGTCAACTTCACCGCCTACTCCTACTTCAAGCGCTGGCTCATCGACTGGCAGCCCGAGTGCCAGGGCACCGGCACCCTGCCCAGCTGGCAGACGACGCTCATCGGCCTCGTGTCCGGCGCCATGGGCCCGCTCAGCAACGCCCCCATCGACACCATCAAGACGAGGCTGCAGAAGGCACCCGCCCAGCCGGGCGTCAGCGCCTGGGTCCGAATCACCCAGATCGCAGCCGACATGTTCAAGCAGGAGGGCTTCCACGCGTTCTACAAGGGCATCACGCCCCGCATCATGCGCGTCGCCCCGGGTCAGGCCGTCACCTTCACCGTGTACGAGTATCTGAGGGACAAACTCGAGAAGAGCAACCTCGCCTTTGTCGGCGGCACGTTTGAGGAGTAAAGAGAGTGCTGGGAGGGGCAAAGATGCTGGGATTCGGATGTCACACGACTCGCAAATACCCTCGACGCACACACACACACACAAAACACACTCGCGCTACATCGGAATATAAACTCTTAGTTATATACCCTGTCGACGAAGGTCTGTGGTTGCTCTTTGGACTATACAGCGACTATACAGCCGTTGGATAGTATAGGACATGCTTTTTCTTTGAATTCTTTATTGTTCGGTTTAGAGGCATCATTTGGTTGCTTTATTTGTTGGCATGCCGACATTGGCTGGGGGCACCAGAAACTGGAAACTGGCATCTCGTCATGTCTTTCCTTTCATCTTTTGTCGAATTTCTTGGATATTTAAAAACAGATAGAATAAAAAAACTTCAAACCTATGCAATCATTTCGTGTACTTCTAATATGCTAGCGGGGTGCTTTCGGCATCATCCGCCCTCGTCCCTGTTGTCTCACCGGCCAGGTCGCTTCGGCCGGCTGAACCCCTGCCTCGCCGCCGGCTTCGGGTGCAGGTCCCCCAGCACCAGCTGCTCCGTCACTTCGCTCGTCTCCTCCACCTCAAACCTCTTGTCCACCGTCAGGCCCGCCTCCTGCTCCGCCACCGCCAGCACCGCCCGCTTCATCAGGGGGTACATCATGCGGTTCTTGATGGAGGACTTGGCGCCGCCCATCGACGTCGGGCACGTGTACAGGAACAACAGGGGGCTCTGCTCCGCCCCGTCGTGCGTGTGCGTGTACCGGTAGAACGTGAAGCGCGGCTCGGTGCTCGAGATGGCCTGCGACAGCTCGGCGATCGTGCTGGGTCGGGGTGATTCGGGTACCAGTTCGACAGCTTCAGTGGATGGGTTGATTTTCTATTCCTGTTAGCATTGCGTTTTCTTTTCTTCGCTCCGGCAACATGAGCGACATCCGCCGCCTCTAACTTACCAGCATAGTCACAACGCGGCTGCCCTGCATGTCCTTCAGGGCAGCAATGGCCTCCTCGGAAACAGGCATCGCCAGGCTCTTGCTCAGATGAATTTCACGAGTCCCAGTCCCCGCACCAGCCTCCTGCTCTGCGCGCTTGACCTCCCCCAGCGTGCGCTCCTCCTCCGTCAGGGGTGCCTCGAGCTGCGCGTGCGCGTCCGCCTTCTTAAACCCCGCTTCAGTAAACTCTTCCGGCGTCGTGAAGAAGAGACTCTCGCGAAAGTGCTCGAGGCCCAGCTCGCGGTTCAGCGTAAGTCGCGTCGAAGCGAACAGCATCTTCTGCCGCACCGGGGCGGCGTCTGGCACGTAGGAGATGGCCGCGAGCTTCGGCGCCGCGTCATATCGTCGGATAATGGCATAGAGTGCGACATTGGGCTTGATGTGTGAATGTAGCGATTTCAAGTCGCCCGAGAACGAAGATGTCGAAGCTATGCTAGCAAGCGGCACCAGTGACTCTTTTTCGATGCCAACCAGAAGAGCAAAGGTGGACGAAGATGACAACAGCGAGCTAAACTGCTCGTGGAGCTCCTTCGAAGCTGTATCGGGTTAGGGAGCGATGGTCTTGTCCTCACAAGCTGTTCACGTACCAGCAATCCCTGACTGCATTTTGCAAAACCTCAATGCCCTGATTTACTCTGCCTCCCAAGTTTGCTTGTTCTTGTCAGCTTGTGAGCTGCCCACGGTTACGCGGCGGGGTTCCAGCGTCACCGTGCCCCGCTTCGCAGAGCCTCTGCCTCTCCCTCGCTACCCTAGACTTGCAAGTTTTGTTATGACCTTCAGAAAGTCGGCGATCCAACGGCGAAAACGGGGGAGAAGAAATGGCTGCAAGCTTTGAGCGAAAATTAAACTTCTGTATTAATCACATGTATTGACATGTGTAGGATTGATGGTCCTGATATAAGTGCAATCAAGTAACTAAGAATCTGTGTAAGATATTCCTCCAGCATTACAACCACCATGGGTAACTGCGAATAATTTGCGTCGTAAGCTAATTCCTGCCAAAAATGGGACCTAAACAAACGAATGGAAATATGACGTAGCTAAACTCGGCCCCAATAAATGAATGAACACACTCCCAACAATCACATTATCATAACCGCGATAAGGGCGAGACCTCCAATGGAAGAGAAGGAAGGTAGGCAGACAGGAGCAGAGTCGGACCCTGGCACCTGGGAAGGGATGGGTGACTCTCCATAAGGCTTGTTGGTGGGTGCTGCTTTGGTTACCATAGTAGTCTCGTATTGTGGAATAGCTGGTGCTGATGTTGCAGAATCCGATGCGCTGGCTTGGGCAGCATCTGCAATCGATGTCTCGTATGCCTGCGGCTCTGGCGCCTGACCTTGCGCGGTTTGATACTGCGGTGGCTGGGACGTCGAGCAAGGCTCCGAGGATTGAGCAGCGGTAGACTGCGAAACAGGCAGGGCAGTAGATTGGCTCTGCGGCTCCGGTGCTGCTCCGGCTGGAGTAACAAGCTGCGAGCTGACAGGGACAGGAGCAGCTGTTGAAACTGACGAAGATGCTTCCGCTGTCCTTGGACTGGAGGCCGCGGTATACTGCTCAAGAGCTGGCTCTTTTCCATAGACGTTTGCAACGCCAGGGTTCTCTTGCGGGCACGAGTTGCCGCAGCAGCCGAGAAGAGGGTTATTCTCGCAGTTGTGATCACACATGCTTTCGTCCTGAGGAGTGATGGCAGCATTGTCGTTTCCGCACCGGCATTCCCTAATAATGTTAGATAAAATGAATGGAGCTAAAGGATGCAAACTTACTCGTTTAAAAGGGCAGCCATCTGGAAACCCTCACAAGCCTTTTGACAAGCTTCCGGAGTAACACAGCCATCAGGAAAGGAAACGGGCTCTCCAAAGCATGTAACGTCGATGGAAGAGCAGCCGATGTAGTGGAATCCAGGAATACTGTGAGGACTCTGAGCAAACGCCCCGAGGACCCAAGAAATGACAAGAATGGTGATAGCGGCCATAGTGAGCGTATGAACGGAGCGGCAGTAGGGGTGATTAATGGACCAAAATGTTGGGAGCACGACGAACCCGTTCCGGATGAGATGTAGAATCAGGATTAGGTATCTCTGGGTGTGTAGGAAAAAGAAGAGAACAGGAGCAGAAATGTCGGCGGAGGCTGATTACATGGCTGCTGAACGGGCACTTGCCTTGCCAGCTGGCAGCCGAACGAACGGCCAACCTTACCAGCTGGCAAGCTGTTCTTGCCTCCAAACAGCACAGCTACAGCAAATACGACAAATTTTCGTCAGATTTCATGTTCACTTAAGATTCTGAGATGTCGCAGATAGACGCTAATTCTCTGCCACTTGATCTTATTTCGAAATTCTTGGATAATCCTCGACTTACACGGAAGCCGGCCTGCGTGTACTTGCTGAAGCTTGCAAACGGAGCCACATCCAAGCATCTCGACCCTTACTTGCTCACAACGCACCCGCTTGACTACAGAAAATTCTCAACACTGAGTCAGCTAAGTTCAAAGTGCATCGATTTTGAAATACATCAAAGTACTTCTAAATAGTTCACCAATCATGCGCTCGAGCACTCCTTTGGACGTTGCAAAACAACTCGGTCGCAGCCCGCCCCCCCACATCCTAAAAAGGCAATCCTCAATTGGGGCTAGCGGACCAAGACATCGCGTACTTCACGTGATTCCACACACTTGCCTAGCGAAAAAAATATGCGGCCCACAAATCTATCAGGGCAAGCGAGCCCCAATTTACAGAGCCACCGCCCAATTGTGCGAAACTTGTACTCAGGAATTTGTCCCGACTCTCCATCATCGCAATCCGTTGAGCATCAAATCCGTCAAGATGAGCGCCCAGGCCCAGAACAAGATCGCCGCCAACAGCCCCTCGAGGCAGAACCCCTCTGAGCTCGAGCAGGCCATTGCTCAGGCTCTTTACGACCTCGAGAGCAACACTGCCGACCTCAAGGCTGCCCTCCGCCCTCTGCAGATTGTCTCTGCTCGCGAGGTGAGATAAACTTGAAGAAACCGGAATGCTACACAGACCGGCTACACAGACTTTTCGAAAATCCTGTTCCCCAAAGACGATGCGATGGTAGCGACGAGCGTACTTCCACGAGCGAACCTGAACATTGATTTTTTCCGAGACGATGGAAATTTCTTGGTCGTGGCTTTCGTGAAGGGGACTTTGCGCGCAGCGCCACCGGCAGTCGAATTGGCTTCGCGGAACAGGACGGGAAGCGGTCCAAGGCATTGCGTCCTGGAGCTCGCATGCTGACTTGTGGTCTGTTTCTAGATCGAGGTCGGCCACGGCAAGAAGGCTGTTGTCATCTTTGTCCCCGTCCCTTCCCTGCAGGGCTTCCACCGCGTCCAGCAGCGGTACGTATTTCAAACCACGAGCGCCACAGGCAGCACAGCCGAGCACGTCTTTTCTAACACTTCCCCGCAACAGTCTGACCCGTGAGCTCGAGAAGAAGTTCTCTGACCGCCACGTCCTGATCCTCGCCTCGCGCCGCATCCTCCCCCGCCCCAAGCGCTCCGCCCGCTCCCGCAACACCCAGAAGCAGAAGCGTCCCCGCTCCCGCACCCTGACCGCCGTCCACGACGCCATCCTGGCCGATCTCTGCTACCCTGTCGAGATTGTCGGCAAGCGTGTCCGCACCAAGGAGGACGGCAGCAAGCTCCTCAAGGTCATCCTTGACGAGAAGGAGCGCGCTGGCGTCGACTACCGCGTCGACACCTACGCCGAGGTTTACCGCCGCCTCACTGGCCGCAACGTCAGCTTTGAGTTCCCCCAGGCCGCCGCTGAGTACTAAGCAGTCAATCGCCTCGAATAAAAAGGTTAAATGAGACGGGCATGATAACGGGTTGGGTTGAGATGTGCCATTTAGCATTGATGGTTGGTCAAAAGGGCTTGGCGTCTTGCGAAAAGTAGCTGTCATAATGATTTATGCTACATGATTTTTTATCATTCAATCGATCCTATCCTCCCACTACCAATGTGACTTCTCGGGTATCTAGAAATGTAACACGTTTCCTCCATTTACTCCTGTGCAATTTTTCCCACCCCTAGTACGCACCAGTAGGCCAGTTCTCGCTTCTCCCGCGCATCCCGTTCCTTGCCCAGTGGGGTGCCCATGTCGTTTTGACCATCAGATTCCCACTCCATTCTCACGAACATGGGTATTTCCAGAATGTCTTCGCCCTCTTTGAGCGGCAACTTGTCGGGGTCGCTGGACAAAGAGGCCGGGACCACCTCTAGTATTATGCTTACCCAGTTGCGGCCTCGTTCCCAAACTTTGCCCACTTCGACCTGGTTGGAGCCGTCGCTGCGGTCCCTGCCATCATCCTTGAGTGCATCATCCCACATATCAGTGTTGGCATCAACTTCGAACTGTGGGCAGATTATAGTGACTGTGCTTGAAAACCTGCCTGGCGTGAAATTCGGGGTGGCCAGTGACACTTTAATGCTCTCAAAGAGCGGGTTTTTAAACGTGATGATATACTGACAGGGCCTTAGAGGCTTTAACGGGCCCTCCTCTGACAGTCCAGGGCGATAGGTGACGGGAATCGGGTTGGCGTTTGGTTGGAAGGGTCGAATCGTGATTGTTGGAATGTATGATTTTGCGACGAGTCGGATTTTATACCTGGTTGACGTGACTTTGCTCTCTGGTTTCGAAAGAATATGTCTGCAGGCAGGACAGCGCTTCGAGCGTTTGGTACGAAGCAAATATGGAATTGGTCGTAGCTCGTCTTGGAACCGGACGCCTTCCAGCTGGTTCTCTTTTTGCTCCGTGCCAGCAGTGCAGTCCCAGCCACCACTGGTGAGCTTTTTAACAGACGGGGAGTCATTCAGTTGTGCTAGCTTGAGGCCTTCATCAGTATTCAAAGCTTCCCGCATAACGTACGGCACGCCCTGCTGCGACTTTTGCCCTCCGCGACCGGTATACAACGACATGATCCGTGACAACGCGGCTGGAGAGGAAAAGCCACTATCATGTGCCAACATACCGCCCAGCGCAGCTCCTACATCTGCCAGCTGCGACTGATAGAATGACTTCAAATTTGCAAATTGCAAATCGGCATCTACATGGTCATCGGGGAGCGGGGTGTCGTCGTGTGTCTCTTTGCGACGCTCTTTGACTTCCTTGGCGGTAATCTTTTGCTCGCCGCCATTGTTAACCCGAGACAATTGAGAGTGTATGCCACTGTGGCGATCGAATTCTATACCGATTTCGCGGGAGGACCAGTTGCAGTATTGACAGATGAGCGCAAACGGCCCCGTGCTTGTGCTGGACGCGCCGTCAGGCCCGAGTAGCTTTGTCTCGGCAGCATCTGGAACAGCAACAACTTGCACAGGACCGATGCAGTTTGGGCACTGATAGCAGCTTCGTGTGCATCTATCAAGCACTGGTTAGCATATTGAGGCAAGGCAAAGCAGTGGTGGAAATGTACCTGTTGCCCTCACTTCGGAGATTGCTGCTAGGAACCTCGAAAAGGCAATTTGGGCAGAAATATGTGACAGTTTCCTCTGTCACACAGCGAGGGCACCGTATTTGTTGACAGTCTTCGCAATATAGCAGGTATTCGAGGGGATACAAGCTGTAGCTGGATCGTGGAGCTCGGGGGTCGAATGTGCGCTCGTCCTCGTCGGAAGAGGAACTGGTCGGCGAGCCCCTGCCAGCATCAGCTGGAGGTTGATCGGAGCATGAGCACTGAATGTATGTATACGGCGTCGTTGTCGCCATTCTAGAGCCTCAGACCAACCGAATGCCGCAGAATCCAAAGACGATCCACGTAGTTGATGCACCCGCGACCCCAGGGGAGACGTGACTGGAGGCAGGCCCCACCCTGTTTGCCCTGTTGAGCTCGGTGAGCTCTCGGCCAGCTGCCGACTTCTGCAAACACGTCTTCCTACACTCCAAAAAACACATCTCTCAATTAAGATAAATGGAAACATTCATGTTACCCATTGCTCACCCTATTCTAGTCGCCGATGGCCGTTGTGCAATTAAATTCTTCCGAGTGGACGAGATACGGGTGCACCGCCGTGCTGGCGTGCTCTGAGGCTGACAAGCCTCGACAGCCATACGGGAAATGCTTGTCACCGCAAGTTCTGTAAGTCGGATATGCGGTGTATCGGTGTATGCGGCAGTAGTATAACCTAACATCCGTGAATCACGACCAAAATAGACAGCGATTTAGGTCGTGGGACTCTCATCCACATTCCTTCCTTGGACAAGGCCGCGGTCGTGTCGGGCATCGTTTCTGGCGTCGAACCGGAACACAAGACATTTCTCCAATCGTACAACCTACTCTCTTTGAATCCAGATGCCACGACCGCAAACTCTGTCCCGAGGAGCTGGGCAGAACCCGACGTCAAAACTGCCTTGCTCCGCTCGGTTGCCAGCAATATAAAGCAAAGCAATGTACGGCCTCGCCCTCGTGACTTGTTGCATTGAATTGGCGTGGCATCAGCTAATGAATATCATAAGATGGGCCTTATAGGATCCCCGTCTAAAGTGTCGTAAAGCAGAGGCACATATGCCAGTCTTATCGCCCTGGACTTGAGGCTGGTACCACTAAAGATGGCGCTCTGCTGAAGGTCGTGTCTACTCAGTATCAGTGCATGTCCCTGCAAATATTATAGCAGCATATGAGATATGCAGCTATAACTAGGGATATTGAGGCTGATTCAGTCTTCGCGGGGCTATTCTGGGGTTGTCGTGACAAAGCCACTTCGTCGCATGAACTTTGTCGCTCGTGTCAAGGGGCCTGTTACAGCCAGAAAAAAGGTCCCGACAGTATCTTGGACCAACGACATGATGACTGCCGAGCACATATCACAGCCGCCTCCAAGTTTGTTCTCTCTGGCTCCATGTTGACTGCCAATGGTCGTCCCGGTTTCTGACTGGCCCGCTGGCATTTACCTACTAGTACTTGACCAGGTGCAGCCACCCGGCTCCAGGCAGGTACTCGCCGAAAAATACGGATCGTGAGCCTCATTGTAAGCATGACAACATTATCATTCTATGTCGTGCCATCAGGGCCGTGGCTAGTATCCTGCTCCAGCCTATTTATGCTTGCCAGAGTTGGATTTGCTCGACGGATTGCTTTCCACTCTGCCCGAAGTCTTCGCTTAGCGCCGAGGCGTGGGTTTCGGCGGACATGTTTTTACTGTATTCAGAATGTAGCATGCGCGAGCAGCGATGCCTGCGTCAATGTTATTCAGAAACTTGAGATCTTCATTTATCCCATGGGCGACTAGGATGTAATCTCTGCCTTGTGTAAGTGTTGAGATTTGTGTAGCTATGGCAGCTGGTGTATGCGTTTCCGTAGCTCCTAATAAGAAGCGCCTTGTTGCCCGTTTGCAGGATTTTGTATCTCGATTGATGAATTGATAACTTGTAATAGCTGTCTGTGAGTCGGTCTAGCTATTGCTAGTGAGATAGTGGGTATCGAATATTGATATGCCGACGTGGAAGCTTTGGCGAGATAACCTCATAGCCTCCTCCAGTATCGACATCCACAGACACGATGAGAATGTCTTTGATAAATGAACCTGAAAGTGGCACGCCGATTCGAGGTAACGGATCTGCATGTATTGATTGGTCGCCGTATCCGAAGCGAAGATGTGTTGAAGAACGAGTTTCTCCTCACGCAGAATCCCTGTATGGGGTCCTGGTATTGACGACATGGCGCGGTCAGGCTTGGGATATTTGTTAGGGCTCTAGGCCCCACAGCTAGCAAGATCTGTACCCCGAGGGGATCTTCAACACTGTAGGTAGGGTTTCATCAGGGGTTTCAGTACAGAGCACACTAACACAGAAATACTTGCGAGTCACCGAAATACCACCTAGAGAAGTGTATCTTGTTGGAAATGAATCCTGATTCGCGCACAGTCGTTTGCACGGAGCCTTGACACAGTCAAGGAGATGGGCTGCACCAGGTTTGTGAATGGCTGAGTAAGAGGCGAATAGAATGTATTAGGTCTTTTTTTTTGTAATTGACATGACAGCACTCTACTAGCATGGCTGGTTTTAAATACTACGGTCAACCCATTCTTAGCTGTGGTGGCTAGTGACCTGGGCTTCTGGCTCTATAATGCAGTAGTCAGGGTGCGCGGGCACAGAATGAGCCCAACATGATCGAAGCTGTAATCTGCAACCCATGACTGTAGTACATAGTATGGAGCCCAACTCGCTGGCCAACACTTGGAAAGGACTAGCCAGGTCCGTCTGCAATGGTCAATCGTGCATGTCTCAGCTACCACGCCGTCAGACGGTCCATCCCTGCACCAACCATGACGAAAGACATGCATCAACAACGCCATGGTGTGTTGGCACAGCGCCCAGCGTCGCTTATCCTTGATTTCAGCGTCTTTGGACCGCGAATGCTGTCATGACCGCAGGATTCGTCAGAGGCGTCTCGATTGCCGAATGCCACTGTCACCGCAGGATTCGGCAGAGACATCTCAACCGCCGAATGCCATTTTTCTTCAAGAAAGAAAGAACGAAAGAAAGGCTGGATTTTTGAGTTTTGTTGCCCAGTTTGACTAAAATGAAGAGCTCGGTGCTTTGGCCCTCCACGCCCCTAGGTTCCGTGGCGTGCCGGGTGAGGCCTTTCGCCTCAACCCCAACGTGCGGGCCTAGCTCCTTGGCCTTCAGCTGGCTATGTTGGATATGATACGTAGTTGGCTCTGAGATGCATGAGCTTTGGTTAATTCGGCCCAGTCCCCTGGGTCAATTTAGATCAATTGTCGTCCTGGTGAAGCCCAAAGGCTATTACCGACCTCCCTCTGGTCCCAGAGCCAAGGCCCAAACTCCTGACTAGCTCTCGGTTAGCCAACTTCAACCTTGATCCTGGTTGCCCTGACAAGGGCGAGCATGCCATTCTCAGAAAGCGCCCAACTTATGACGCCGGAATCTAAGATTTGGTGTGGCCGCAATAACGATTGGCGGGTCTGGGTGGCACATAGCTGCACAATAGTTAGTACATAGCTGCTGAGCCGGCGCATAGCTCCGACACAAGGATTACAGACAGGTAATATAGCTGGGGCGCATATTGGCCGATCGAGCTGGCACATACTAAAACCGCTGGCCCCCGGACAATAACTGTCGTTAGCATCTCTCGCCCCTGTGAAATCCCCAGCGACTGTTGTTCTCTCCTGGTGGCGGAGGTTTCTTTTTTGTCTGTCTGGCTGGACAGTCGCTGGCGATGCCGCATACCGATCGACGACACTTTATTATGGGCGAACCCGCCGCGTGCTATTCTTGAGAGAGCTCCAGGAGCTACTACTGTACGTTACTTTGCCGCCGCCACCGCCTTGTCCCGTGTGGGAAGCACCGCATGGGCGCAATTGCCCAGCTGCGCGACCGGAAACAAAACGAAATTTCTCAGGTGGCTGTTTTATCACGACGGCGTTACGAGGAGCTCGTGTCTGATAGATACATTCTGCGTCAAAGCTCGGGCTGTGCTACATTCAGGTGTGCAGCGGCTATTGCCACCAGCACCTACCATTACGGTTATTTCTTTGTGTACGAATACTTTTTAACAGGAGATCTGGAATCTCCCCTCATTCTTTTTTTTCTCTCTCTTTTCTTGTGTCAAGTTTCGTGGCAAGACGCCCCCAAACTGCTTGACGAGATGCGGGCCAACGCTGCGCCCACGGTGAAACTATGGGATGGACGAAGACGGACAGCAACTGTATGGAACGGAGTACACAGGGTAAGCAATCTGCAGCAGCCTAATTGGAGCGTAATGACTGAGCAATACAGGAACCGGAGCTGTGGGCCGCCAACGGCAACTGTCTCGTTTATCTATACGGCAAGGGACAGTGCAATGCTGGAGCTTCCTTTCGTATCGACTTTACCGCCTTGACCCGCGCACGGTGTTATGGATTCATCGAAAAGTACATGGACAAGCAGGGCCATACGTTTGATCTTCCAAAGACCGACGTCGACTGGAATCGATTGCGCCCGAGGCGAATGGTGTCATTGTACGTGCCAGCCGCAGCGGGCAGCACACGTTCGGAAGTTGCACGGCAGCATGTTTCAATCCGCAACCTTCTTGCCTGGGTATTAGGGCTCCCACTTGTCGGTGAACATCTCGGCGGAGAGATCGTGACTCTGTTTCAAAGCATGGTCGCCTACCGGCCGCTTGTTGCTGACTCTACCCCGGACCTGTTGGCGTATCTTGATTTCGCAGGATACTTGAACGTGGTGGCACAACCGAGCCATGCTCTTGCCATTCTATATCTTGCAGAATTTCTCTGCCTTCGGGAATTATATGCCCGAGCATTTGTGCATTGCGTAGGCATGGGTGATCGAATGTACCAAAGCACCGAATACACAGTAAGGATGCAAGCTTCAAACAATCACTCGTTTTGCTAACAAGGAGCTTAGAAAGTCAGTCTTGCTTCCAGAAAGCTCATGAGAACCGCAAGCCAGAAATTAAAGACCAAGTTGAACGCCGCCATTGAGGATCTTGGATCATTTCTCGATGACGAGCTTTCGGAGAGTCGAATCGGCCTGCCTCCAGACATGCGTGCCCACCTGGACAGGTTTCGCGGCGCTCTGTTGACGTTCTACACTGCCAAGTTTGGCTCTTTTCCTCCTAGCGATTTTGACTCAAGGGTTGTGCAGGCCATGTTGGAGGACTTTGAAGCCTTGTACGACCTTCTTGTAGACGACGGCATCGGCGCGCCCGGGATGTTCGGTGGGAACAATGGGGGTGGCTTGTGCATTCTGCAAATCATCAAAGGATTCGACAGCCGCAATTCCTTCGTCGCCCGTCAGCATCCCCTGCCTCTTCTCCCCGATACGTCCGGGCTTCGCACGCGCCGCATGTCGTGGCTTGGCCGCGGAGAGATGAAGAAACCCTCCAACCGGCTCGTCGCCCATACAGCGCTGATCAAAGCCTCCAACTGGCGCGATTCCAAGAATGGTCTCGTACGAATGTACCGTGATTTTGAGGGCAAGTCGCTGGAGCCGGCAGCCAACAAGGGAGACAGATCAAGCCTGTCAATCACGGATGCTCGCAAAGTGCGATGGATCTTGATATATGCCATGTGCCAGGTTCTACGCAGCATCTCGCAAACGGCGCCGCAAGTGGCCGGCGAACAAGCACCCTACTTCCTCAGCGCCCCCATTGAGCTACCGCCTTGGGACATTGCGCTGGACAATTTGAATACAACAATGGAGCTCCCGATTCGTATCAGCGCATTGCCTACAATGCCTCCGCCGACCAATGAGCCTTGGCAGCCCAAATTCGCAGACGAAGTGGAAATCAAACCGGACATTGACTATTTTGCATTGACGCACAATATGGAACTCCAGCAGCCAGCAAAGCTCGGGCGCAGGCAGTCAATGCTGAGCCAGACCACAGCATCACCAACGAGGCGATCGTCAGCGAAGCTCGTGACGGGCACCGGGCTCGAGCGTCGCTCAACAATACGGGACTCGATAAAGCGACGACTGCGCCCGGGAAGCGCGACTTCTGCAACTTCTCCCACGGCGAGCAAAAGTGTGTACCACGAGATCGTGGTTGAAGGCTACGGGAACGGCACCAATGAGGTCAAGCTTGGGAGGCGTAACACTGTGGGCTGTGACAATTCGGAAGTTGCCCTATGGTCTTCCGCAACCTTGCCTCGTGTCCCACGCCTCGCCGACCCAACGTACCCGGGCATCGACTCCGCCGCACCAGCTCCCAACCAGAGCCGCAGTAGTTCCCACCGGAGCAGCAGCGCGAGCTTCATCGACGCGACACACTCGCAGGCCGCATCCGGCCCTGCCTCCCCTGCCACGATCGCCACGGACGAGTTCGAGCAAACCCCCGCCGTCGAGCCCATCATTGTTCGCAACTCCTCGCACAGGAGCCTCACGCACCGGTACCCGATGAAGGCGGTGCTGGACACCATCAGCCGCACCTCGAGCAAGCGTCGCGCCTCCTTCTCGGGCAGCAAGGAGCCGCCGCCGCCTGTTCCGCTGCCGCCAGCAGCGTCGCCTGCTGGCACGCCGTCCCGGGCCTCGAGCATACGCAGGAGCCTGCTGCCGGAGAGCTGGTCGCTGCCGGGGCGGGCGATGGTCGCGCAGGACATATGCGAGGAGGATGAGATTGTCACGCTGCAGTCGGAGGCGGACGAGTGGATCGCGATGCAGGCGTTTCTAGACGGCGACCACTCGCGGACGCACATGGACGACGAGGCAGCGGTTCCGGGGTGGGAGCAGTATAATGACCTGGGCGGCTTGACAGAGGTTCGGTAAACGTCTCCAACAAAGGCCGGGACACGGACTGTATTGTCCGACCGAGAGATATACAAAGAGCATCAATCGAGCGAAATATGATGGTACTGATGGTGCTAATAATAGCGTTGATAGTGTTCATAATGATGACATTGTTGATACTAATACTGAACCAAGAGTAACTAAAACGCCCCGACTGCCCAGAACCAAGAACGATTTGATCCCTGACCATTCCCTCGATTACCCCCTTCCCTTGTTTTGTTGTAGTTCGTTTGGATTCATATGACGGTGCTTGCTGTTTGTGTGTCCGTCGCGTACTATACAAAAATGAAACAGTGGTATATTATAAGATTTGATGCAGGCAGCGAAACCTCGCGTCTGCTCTTCTGTTGCCGTGCTGCCTTTACTCGGTCTTGACGTGCGAGGCCGCTTCGATGCCGCGGAGGATGTCGCTGCCGAGGGAGTAAATCATCCAGGTCGAACCGACGAGCCAGGCGCCGCTGCGGGAGGGGGTGGGTGTTAGTAAGGTAACCACAGGGAAGAGAACGGAGAGGAGGCGGCGCGCACTTGGGAATGATCCAGAGAAAGATGAGGCTGACCAGGTCATTGTGGCCGATGTTGTCGAAGCCGCTGTAGTATTCATGGAGCCCTGCAGACAGAGGGTTGTTAGCCGCTACCCTGTTCAGACATACACGCGCGCGAAGCGCGGGAGCTTCTGGAAGCCTCTGTTCTCTCGAAACACGTACAGTAGAGGACCGTCTTGGAGAGGGTCATCACGGCGGCGCTAAAGCCGATCAAGACCGCCCACGCGCCGGCGCGCCCCGTCACCGCCCTGCGGCCTTCGCGCGTCAGGCAAGGCCAGGCGTAGGCCAGATACATGGCGGTCTCGACGGCGTTGAGGGCGCCCTGGGCGGCGGTGAAGCCGCTCTTGGCGTGGAAGGCCTTCCAGCCGTAGACGTGGTCGATCTCGCCGTAGAGGCGGTACGGCGTCCACAGCGGCCAGTGCAGCCAGCCGTTCTCCATCGTGTGCGGGCGGCCGAGCACGTAGACCGTGTCCCAGACGACGAGCGGCAGCGAGATGGCGAGCCAGAGCAACGTAGCGGCGTCGGGCGCGTGCGACCATCCGGCGGCGGCGGCGGCGGCGGCGGCAGGAGGCGGGGATGCCTTGGAGGAGGAGGAGAGCGACTTGCGCGAGGCGGCGCGCTTGGTGCGGGAGGAGGGCGTCGGGGGCGTGGTGGGGAGGGGCGTCTCGGGGGCGGCGCTGCCGGCGCGCGACGAGGAGGAGCGCGTGCTGACCATGGCGATGGAGGCAAGGTGGGCGATGGGGAGAAGAGGAGGAACTGTGTGTGTGGCAGCGAGAGGGAGGAGCAAAAACTAAGAATGGTTGCGCTGTTGACTGGGTGTTGATGGAGGGGGAAGCGCGTGCGCCAGGACCTTGTTCCTCTTGGTGTTGTGGCTTACGTATCAACAAGCATGCAAGCAGTAAGTTGAACGAGCGGCGTTTGCGCAAAGCTGGGAACAGACAATGGGGGATATCAGCACCAGCCTTATCCCATCCAAACCATCATATGCAGGCCAAGCAGCTTGTTGTTTACTTTCCCTTTCTTAATACCTAGTCTGGCGCAACCTTTCTCTCTCTAGCCAAGTTACTGTAAGTGTGGTGAGTGGGGGAGGCAGCGGGCTTACCTGCTAAATTGGTTGCTCGGTTGGCGACGCCGTCTTGTTTCCAAGTTTGCGGAGAAGAGCACTAGTAACTTATGCAACTGGAGCATACTTGTTTACAGGGCCAGTTCTCCAGTTCTCCTTTTTAAAGACATGTGAAACGTCAAGGGTATTGATGGTGCTTGAGGTAGGAATGAAGAGTAGAACTTGTCTCGTGGGAATCTTCCCCCAGGCCTAGCCAACTTAGCGGCTTACAAGCAACCCGTCGCAGTTGGATACCTACATAGCCTAGAGGACGGGAAGGAAGAGGGGGGACGGGAAAATGAAGACGATCAACAATCTGGGGCAGTTTTGGTGTGGTGACGTCGTGACGCCAATGGCTGGCTGCCCCAAGCTTTGTTTACCTTTCCAATCTTCTCCAAGCTCTGCCCTCCTGTTTCTCATCGACCTGCGTAGGCAAGCTGAGCGCATCGCGACGCCTTGTAATCTGCCTGAGCTGGTCCTAAATAGCTCTTCACACCTTGAATCTCTGAACCTTTCCTTTCCGCCATCACTTCTGTGTCATCACGTAACTAAACGTGCTTCCTGGTCGGATCCATTCTCCTCCGAGCAAGGTTGCAATGGCCCCCGGCCACTCGGCCGGGCTTCTCATTCTCCCCGAGGCTATGGGTCGCCCGCATTATGTGGCCAAGTTGCACTCTTTTATTCGTAAGAGCGCCATCCACAATACGAATCTGAATTCATTATTTTGGGCATACATCCGAGTACGAAAATCGCCATCGCGCCACTTGTGTAGCCTAGTACCGAGGCAGGCTGACACCGACAGGCTGCATATGGACATGATTGCGCAACGGATCGGGTGCTGAAGCAAGATCGCTTGGCGACCACCGAAGATGAAATAGAGTGCCGATGTAGCGCACAGTGACCAAGCAGTCGTAATTCCCACTGTTTGCTCTATACGAAATGGTCGGGTAAGGCACAATATTTAAACTGCTAGGGGACGCTCATGAGACATAACTCGGCTAGCGTTGCTGACAAGCCCTACTATGTACATTACTCTATAGATTTTGGAGTTATCGCATTCTTTATACTATTTTGTTTTTAAATTGAATGAAATTAGCAAATCCATTTCAATCAAATATTTAAGTAGTAGATTTATGTTTATGTTACGGAGTGCCAAGGGAGAGAGCACCGTGGCTACTGTGGGCTGGAAGAGGAACCACTAATTCTAGTAACAGCCCACGTCATAACTAGATTAAGCAAGGCAAAAAGTTATTGCAAGATCACATCCATCACGACATCTGGCCACTTTCAAATTTTGCTGCCGCATCTTCATCCCACAGCCACAGACGCTGCTACTATTCCACCCACCCGCAAGAACCGCAGACACAAACACACTTCAACACACACGCGGCTGGGGCGCAATGCCTGCCACCAAACGAGCCCTCGGACGAACCACCGACCATCCCTCGACCACATCATCACCATCCCCCGCCATGACGTCGGCCACGCGGCGCACCTCGCCCTTCCTACCGACGCCCGTCGAGCGGCTCGCCCTCGGTCTGTTCCCGGCGCTCCTCGTCTTCGGCTCGCTCTTCGCGCTGCTCTCGCCCGACACGCGCGCCATGACCTACGACGCGGCCTCGCAGTCGCACCGCGCCGCCGACGGCTCCGCCGCGCCCAGCTACTTCGCGCGCAAGTCCAACCTCTTCAACGTCTACTTCGTCAAGCGCGGCTGGGCCTGGACGAGCGTCGCGCTGCTCGCCTTCGCGCTGGCCCACCCGGCAGCCGGCGCCGCCTCCGCGAGCGCCCGCCGCTCATCGACCGCGGCTTCCGGTGGACCGGCGGGCAGTGCGAGCTGGCGGAGCGGGAGCTCGCCGCGGCGGGCAGCGGCGGCAGCACGGTGGAGGCGGTGTTCACGGCGGTCGCGTGCAAGGCTTCGGGGGGCAGCTGGCGCGGCGGGCACGACATCTCGGGACACGTCTTCCTGCTGACGCTCGGGTCGGCGATGCTCATGCACGAGGTGCTGTGGCCGCTCGCGCGCTGGGCCGGCTGGCTCGCCGAGGAGCGGTGCGTCGTTATGAACGACGGCGCGGTCAAGGGCGCCGGCGTCGAGGCGGAGGCGGGGACGGCGCGCGCCGCTGCGGGCAACCCGCTACTCGGCTACGCAGGCAAGTTCGCGCTGGGCGTCTTGGTGCTGAACTTGTGGATGCTGCTGATGACGGCCATTTATTTCCACACGTGGTTCGAAAAGGTATGTCCCGCCTGTGAGAGGGAGATGACGTGTGCTGACTTGGCAACAGTTGACTGGACTATTGACAGCGTACGTCGCGATTTATGCCGTTTACTATGTCCCGAGGTTTCTGCCGGCGCTGCGGCAAGTAATTGGAGTTCCTGGCATTTAGCAATCAAAGGGAGGAGGAGATGGAGGTTTCCTTTTGCATGCGGCTGGCGTACGGATTCCATGTGAGCTTCATATATACAGCGGGGCGAGTTGTGCTGCTAAAGACGGAGGCAGTTGGGCCTCCTTTCCACTACATAATAGCTACTCTCTACTAAATAGAAACTAATAACATATGTATAACGTTCGAAACCGCTTTCCCTCCAGTTGTGAAGATTCCTAACTGTCTTACAAAGCTTCCTCCCGCCACGCCAGCGCCCCACCACATTACATCTTGGATCTTCGTTGAGAAGCTCACCTCTCACAATCGCGCATATTAAAACTTCCGTCTCTCATCATGGCTACCATCAAGGTACCGGCTCGACTTCCCGAGCTCGCCAAGGCTGCCTTCTCCAAGGCCCTCGCCGACGGGGATCTCTTTTACTTTCCCACGCAGGTGCAGGACATGCGCGTGGGCTCTCTCTCGGTACGGCCCAACTTCCCCCAACCTACCAACCTTCTCACACTAACCTTGCTTCACAATGACCTCAGTTTCAACTACGCTTCTCGCCGTCCCTGGCCAACAAGCCCAAGGGTGCGAGTAAATCGTCTGCCACCACCCCGTCAAAGCCGTTTGACCCCTTCGAGTACACCACGCCGCCGCCGCCGCTATTCGTCGGCGACGTCGGCCCCGCGCACTTCCTCGTCCTCAACAAGTTCGCCATCGTCCCCGGCCACCTGATCCTCGCCACGCGCGCCTACCGCGCGCAGACGCACATCCTCGAGGCCGACGACCTGCATGCCACGCTCGCCTGCCTGCGCGCCTTCGAGGAGCACGAAGCAGCCCCCGCGGAGAGCGGCGCGCTGTTTGCGTTCTTCAACGGCGGCGAGCACTCCGGGGCCAGCCAGCCGCACCGGCACATCCAGCTGCTCCCCGTGGCGGCCATGCGCGAGGGCCTGCCGGCGGGCAGTCCGTGGAGCATGTTGGCGTCGAGGCTGGACGACGCGGCGGTGGCGCCATTTCGCACGTTTGCGGAGAAGATTCGGCTGGACATGCCGCGCGGTGAGCTGCACGCGGCGTACCTGCGGCTATACGAGCAGTCTGTGCGCGCGGCCGCGGGTGACGAGATGGTGGGGGAGGCGGCGACGACGGGCGAGGCGGCGATCAGCTACAACCTGGCGATGACGCGGGACCGGCTCGTGCTGTGTCCGCGACGGGCGGAGGGCGCGGACATCACAGATGAGGACGGAAAGGTGGTCGGCCAGTTGGCGCTCAACGGGACGATGCTGGCCGGCACGGCGCTGGTCAAGACGGAGGCGGAGTGGGATGCGCTGCGCGGGAACCCGGCCGCGCTGACGGCCGCGCTCAAGATGGTGGGCGTTGCGCAGCCGCGGTTTGTGGACACGACAGGTAATAAGCTGTAGATCCTGCGGTGTCGTGGGCACATAGAGGAACAAGGAGGGTCAATGAATTTTGTTTTAAATATGAATAAAATACAACCCCTCCATGATCAAACCAGGTGCGAAAAACCTATTGTACATGCATTTCCGTTCTGCTCGTTGACCCCAATCCAATACTTTTCTTCGACCTCCTCCGCACTTTATCGCCGAAAGCCGAGCCCCGTGCCAATCAGTAAGTTCCAAGAGCCAAAACCGAGAAAGAGAGAAGAAACAGAGACAAACAAATTGCGTCGAACTGCGTGCGCCGACACGCATGCGAGAAAAGGAGAGAACTGAATAACCGCGGCAGGCTTAAATCTGGTCCCCCTTGAGTAGATGTGAGAAACAGATCCGCAATATTCAACGACGTCGGCTAACATGCAGCTCTTTCCACTTGGTGTGGCAAGTTGCATAGCCAAAGGAATACGATCCTCCATTGTCGGTAATGTACTCTGCCACCTTCTTCCACGAGGTCTTGCCTGAACGGACGGAGCCGCGGGTGTGCACCCGGACGGCTTTTTTCAACAATTCAATCTGTACCGCGAGAAAACAAAGAGAGGAAAGACAAAAGCTCGGTTAGGTCGAATGCGTCTTTGGCTTCAGTGGGGGGTATCTCGGTTTAGCTGGGCTGCTCACATCTGTTTCGGTCCATTCCGGCTTGCGCACGCGGCTCTCCTTGTCCTTGGTCAGCATCCGGTGGCGACCGCGCAGGGTCGACTCGGCCTCGCTGAAGCCGCCCTTGGTCTTGATCTCCTTATAGGACATGCCCTTGGCGCGCGCCTCGATGAGGAAGGCGTTCTGGGCATCCTTGTCGTTGTTGTCGTTGTTGTAGTAGTGGTGGTCCGAAACGGCTGGAGAGGGCAGCCGGCTCGCCTGGTGGGATGAGGGCTGGGCGCTGCTGGCCGCGTAGTTGCTGTCACTATCGTGAGTGCTGGGGGCAAGGGAGGTCCCGCCGGAGGGGGAGTTGTTGCTGCTGATGTCCTGGGTGGCAGGTCCTCTTAGGAAACTGGGGGAGGGAGATGAATTGTTTGGCAGTCGACGGCTGCCTGCGTAACCGGCCTGCGGGGACTGCGAGGAAAAGTCTCCAGCGCTAGTGAAGGACAACTGGCTTGAAAAGTCTGATCTTGCAGGATGGAGGAAGTTAGCTGTCGTCCGTAGCTTCCTGTCAGAAGAAACGGATATATCGTTGAAAGACTCCTGCGACGACAGTGACACTGGGGGTGGCACGTTGTACAACTGCGGAGGGGCAATCTGGCTCGTCGTGTTGCTGAACCATTTTTTCATAATCACAGAACTGTTCTCCTTGAAGTAACCATGTGAACCTGTCTCGACTTTCAACTGCGGCTTGCCTGTGTGGTCATCGCTGCTCATCTTTGAGCGGGAGAGTGCGCTGGTGGGAGGGGTGTTGAGATGCGGCATCTGGCGGCTCGTCTGGTCCTGGCAAGGAGACTGATAGAGGCCAATGGTAGCAGGTGTACTGGGCAAAGACACGCTTGTGTCGGGGAGATGCGGTGCGTAGCTGCCTTGAGGCCAGACTGCGCTCATTGGTGCGCTGGATATGCCGCCAAGATCCAATGGGTGCATTCCGGGCTGCCAGCCAGGACTGTTGTAACTGTAACTCGGCGTGAAGCCCATAGCAGGAAGTCGAGCCGCACCATACATGGCTCCGGAGATGGATGGGCTTTGTGTAGTTTCGGTAACGCCTGAGCTGGCTGTGTACGAGTGCTGCTCGAGTGGCGTTCTGTCAAATCTGGGCATTCCGTGGCAAAAGTTTCGACCGTATTGCGTTTCAACCTGCAACTTAAACTTAGAAACAACGTCTTTCAACATCAGTTATAAGTATACCTCGACGTCTGAGATGGATTGCATCCAAGAGTCGCTATCCATTGTGGTGCGTCGGCGGAGGTGCAGAGGAAGCATCAAGCTGTTCTGCGCTCGACGGGCTCTCAGAGAACGAAACGGCTGATGTTGAATCTGGGACGTGTGCATCTGAGGCGAAGCATAGTCAGGCGATGGAACTGTTATATCATCTGATGAGTAGCCTTGCGGTGCAAGCTCTTGTGGCCGCGACATGACGGCGGTGGACATGTGGAAAACTGCAGAGAAGTGCGGTCTTGGTGCAGGTAAAAGCTTGTCAAAGATGACGATGCCAATGATGGCGACACTGTCACCGCTTAGAAGCTAGAGTCTTTGAGAGATGACATCCAGAAGGTTGAATTCTAGAGTTGAAGATGGCGGGAAGCTGCAGAATCTGAAAGGGAAAGAAAGGAAGGGAATGCAGGTGTATAGTTAGTTGTAGGATGCAGCGGCTGACTGCGTGGTTGAGGAGGAGGTTGAACGCGAAGATGAGGGGCTCGGCTTGCTACGCGAAACATTCGCGCTATTGATTTCACTTGAGCCTCAAGTATGCAAAGAGAAAAAAAAAGCGTAACGTGCGGCGAGGAAATTGGGGTCGTGTGGCCAAGGTGAAGCTGATTTGGACGTGAGGGGCTGCCAGCTGGCAGGCAGTTGACAGCCGGCAACAAAGTGGAGGAGTGATTTTCAGGCCACCAGAGTGATCGAGCTAGTCCAGATGATTTGCATAGAATAATATCTGTGTTCTTGGTCTTCTCAAGGTTTATTCCACGCCTACAGGACCAGGATCAGTATTTGAATCGCGCCCAGACGTCGTTGACGAACCATCGCCGCGTATTGGTCCCGAAGGCATCCCGTGTGGCCGGGCTCCAAGACAACGATAGCAAGGAGTCCTTGCAGACGATCGCGTCTTACATTCTGAGACTCAGTCGGGTAGCTATGTCGGCCGGCAATTTCCGACTATAGCCCGTCTCAACGGTGCCATCAGTAATCAGATCCAGCTGTGAACCCAACACTGGCCGTCCATACCCCTGGCAAGAGAGGACCTGGTTTCGCGTAAACTCTCTCTGTTTCTTCGCTCTGAAAACCTCCATCTCGTATTCATATCACCGGAAACCACTGTACATCACCACCGCTCAGTTGCTCAGATCACCCAACGGCCTCACAACACTGCGCATCTAGTTCAGTGTTACCCGCCCTATCGGGATCCGTCTCAAACTCCCGTTACTGCAGAATAACTCAACTGCCGTTGCCTAGAGATCCATTGAATTGCATATTTCTTTGAAGCAATGACCACAACTATGTTGTCTTACCTCAAAGCATCGCGTTGGTCTCCTCGCCCTCTCCCGCCAACGTGGCTGGAGCAAACCTGAAGTCTTTCTGAAGAGCAAACTATCTTGCGGCTCCGCGCAGGGCGAAATGACTTGATTTATTCCCCGCAGATTGATGATTGGCCGATTCTACGTCGTGGCGCGGCTTGTGCGTCCAAACGCTTCAACTTGTAACTCCATACCTATAGATTGGAGCTCTTTGACCAGGACGCATCGTCCAATGAGTCAAAAGATGCGGCATCCTCTGTAAACGTCGTCACTACAACAAATGCGCAGCGTAAGAATATTGCCACCGGGTCAACACAACGGGAGGCGCGTCTCAAACATCTCCAGTAGCACTGACCAGCCACTTCCACATCTCATTTTGCAGATGCCGCAATGACCAGTGGCTGTCATCTCGCTTGGATATTTTTTCGTGAACGTTGTGAATTTAGATGCATGATGTGCATAAGATTATCTTGTGCTCCGTGTACGAGCCGCCAAGGAAGAATTCTTTTCCAGTTCGCTGTATGTGTGATGACATTCTACCAAAAAAAAGAAGACGCTGAAAGAGATACCCAAACAGAATATACACAAATAGTAAACACTGGCCGAGACCTAGCCAAAGGCTTTCGTCGCAAGCATTAGGAAAACGAACTCGCAGGGTAAAACGCCGCGTTCACCAGTCCCGCTTAGTCGTCCCATTCTTCGTCGAGTTGATCTATCAACCGATTCTCCGCGTCCGAGTTTCTGCTGTTGTTGTAGCTTTGGCTGACGTTTCTGTACCCGCGCCTGCTCGGCAAGAAGCGGGCACACGATGCCGTCAAGATCACAAACATGTCCTGTCCCAAGAACAACAAGAAAAGACAATAATAGGTCAGCTCCCGCGACGACTGTGAATTGGCAGGCCGGGTTTGGTAGGGTGGGCGGAGGAACGCACAGTGACAAAGCTCCCGATTCCGGCCCAGAGGCTATAGTTGGGGAGCTGACGCCAGCCGCGGGCGTGCGCGACGGTACGGTTGTAGCAGACGCCTCCGATGACGTAGACGAGCACGGCAATGACGAGGATGAGGCCAAAGACGCTTCCGGGGCCGACGTTGCCGCGCCGGTGCGGCTCGGCCTGCGCACAGGCGTGCGCGGAGCGCGCCTCGAAGAAGTAAGCGCACTCGTCCGGGTCGGTCCCGACGAAGGAGAACGCCGCCTGCGCATTGCCTGAATCACGATCACAGAGGAACGAGATGACGGTCGACTTGCGCCGTACGGTGTCCTTGCCCTTGTCCTTGTCGCCGGTGGCGGGTTTCTGATCGCGCGCGCTCTTGTTGGGCTTGCTGGCCGCTTCGCAGGGTGAGCCGTCCCCGTATCGCAACACGAGCTTACGACCGCGACTTCGGAGGTCGAGCGACGAGGAACTATGCGAGGGGGAAAATGGGGTCAGTACAATTGACGCAGCAAGAGCATCGCCAGCGAAAGAAAATGAAAGCAATGGGTCTTACCCTATCGAGTACACCTTGTCCTTGTGTGTGTAGTATGCGCTGACGTTCCCCCATAGCGCCTTGGACACTCCGACCACGTCCTTGACCGGCGCCACCACAGGCTCGCAGATGTTGATGGTGAAGTTGCTGCCGTAGTCGTACCCGCGCGCGTGGTAGTCCTTGGTTATGGAGCGTCGCGTCGACTTGTCGGTCGCCGGGGCTTTCGCGACGTCGGGCCGTAGGTCGAAGAAGGCACCGTTGCTCGTTGAGGAGATGGCCGTGCAGGCGGGGATGGGTGCTGTCGTCGTGGCTTCTTCGGCGCGAACCGCGGAGGCGGCGACGGCCATCAGCGCGGCGGCCGCAGACAGCGACGGGATCCGCATCGTTCGTGTGTATTGCCTTCGCGCGAGTAATTTAGCGCAAGGGTTGGTTCGTTGAAGATGATGGGGCGTTAAGGAAGAGAAGGTGGTTCCGTTTTGCGTGCGCCACGTCACCTAGATTTAGACAGTGATATCCATGGAGCAGTGGATCATCGGCCGAGCACCTGCAGAAGTAAGCCAGGCACTACGCAGAGATGCGACTAGTATACAGCTAGGTGAAATGGTTTAAAGGCATTGGGAATTAGGGAGGTTTGTTTTGTTAAATTCACAGGCCTGTCATCACCGTGCCTTGCGCTCATCGTATCAGTATCATGATTCTTTTTGCAGTCAGAGCCACCGGCGCTGAAATACCCTGTACGAACCTGGACAGCGCCACCAGTATAACTCGGGCCAAATCAGGCACCGTGATGCCCCTTGCTATCAATGTTGAATCTTAATTTCAATCCCCCAAAAGCACTGTATTTGTAGCCTCGACTAGATATCTTAGCTCGCTGCTGGTCGGTGCAAGTGTTTTCCCGTGTCGACTGAGCCACACTTCCGCTCAGCCACTGTGCATCTGACACCTCGACCCGGATGGAATGAGCTCCGCGCTCCTAGCACAGGAGCTCTAGCTTCGTGCAGCTCTTGCTCCCAATGCGACGTGCCCTTCTTTAATTGGGATCGGTCAGCCGTTTCGTGTTCTTGTCCATCATCTTTCCATAATCCTCTACCCTCTTCTCTTCTCTGCACTTTGAACTTCGTCATGGCTCCCAAGGCAAAGGCGGCTGCCGCCCCTCATGCGCACGGCTATGAATTCGGTGGTCCGTAAGTAACAACAACACGCAACGGCGGTGCGCGCGTTTATGCACCCATCGCCCATCCGTCAACTCGGCCTCACTGACGTCAATGGGCTAGTCTTGGTGCCGCGGGCATCTCTTTTGGCCTTCCAATCCTCTGCTACATCTTCGCCTTTGCGTGCAACGACATCTCGGGCTGTCCTGCGCCCTCGCTCCTGCACCCCAAGACGCTCTCGATCGAGCAACTCAAGCGCGAGGTTGGCTGGCCGCACGATGGCATCTGGGGCCTCGCCAGCTGGCAGGCCAGCGCGGCGGTCGCCGCGTACTACCTCCTCAACCTTGTTCTGTACCGCGTCCTGCCCGCCACCGAGACCAAAGGCACCGTTCTGGCGACCGGCGGCCGCCTCGACTATCGCCTAAACAGTACGTAATTGCCCGCACAACTTGTTCGTCACCGAGTCTAACCTCCCGCAGCGCTCTACTCCAATATGCTTACGCTGTCGCTACTGGCCGCCGGGACTTTAGCGCAGGGCGCCGACTTTCCCGTATGGGTCTTTATCAGCGAACACTACCTGCAGCTACTCACGGCTAGCATCACAATCTCGTATGCCATCGCGACGTTTGTCTACGTCCGCAGCTTTGGCGTCAAGGTTGACATCAAGGACACTCGTGAGCTGGCCGCCGGTGGCCACACTGGCAATCTTCTGTACGACTGGTTTATCGGCCGCGAGCTCAATCCGCGTGTCACCATTCCTGTTATTGGCGAGGTTGATATCAAGGAATGGTGCGAACTTCGCCCCGGAATGATGGGATGGATCATTCTTAACTGCGCCTGGTGTGCGCAGCAGTATCGCAACTACGGCTTCGTCACTGACAGCATCGTCTGCATCACCGTTGTCCAGGCTCTGTACGTTGTTGACTCTTGGTGGTTTGAACCCGCCATTCTCACCACAATGGACATCACCACCGATGGCTTCGGATTGATGCTTGCCTTTGGCGACTTGGTATGGGTTCCCTTTGTGTACTCTCAGCAGACCCGTTACCTGTCTCTCCACCCACTGTCCCTCGGCCCTGTCGGACTGGCCGCCATGGTTTCCTTGATCGGACTGGGCTTCTTCATCTTCCGCTCCGCCAACAGTCAGAAGAACGCTTTCCGCACCAACCCCAACGACCCCAGCGTTGCCCATCTCAAGTATATCCAGACGAAGACTGGCAGCAAGCTTCTCACCAGTGGTTGGTGGGGTGTCGCGCGACACATCAACTACCTTGGAGACTGGATCCAGTCTTGGCCGTACTGCCTGCCGACTGGGCTCGCTGGCTACCAAATCATGGCTGCTGGTAGCCTGGTTGAAGACTCTGTCGGCGCTTTCATCATGTCCGATGGTCGCCAAGTCATCCAGGGTAGTGCCAAAGGTTGGGCCATTCCTATCACCTACTTTTATGTGATATACTTTGCCGTTCTGCTGATCCATCGTGACCGCCGAGACGACGAAAAGTGTCATCGCAAGTATGGTGATGACTGGGAAGCGTACAAAAAGATCGTTCACTGGAGAATCATCCCCGGCGTTTACTAAATGGCTCAAAACACTGCTCTGCTGTATAATAGCCCAACTGTAGTTGCCGATGGCCTGTTTTGCCGGGAATTGACGTGTAAAGTATGGGGAATCGGTCCGTGATGCTTGGCTTTTGGGGTTTGTGGAGTTGTTTTGACAATTGCTCTGTACTAAAAGAATGAGTCAGTAATCTGTATTAGCAATTATAATTTTCTCTTTTGTCTCTATTTCAAAGCCTGCCTGGTCTATACGCAGCAGTGTGAGACACGGTGAGGTGGCGTCAACGGGACCCCTGTACTCCTTTGCCTCGCATCGACTCTTGGCATATACATTGCGGCGAATAGACTGTGTAAACGGTTGGGGAAGAATCCGAGAGAAATTTCACCGATGAGTCGCCGGCTTGATCATTATGACAGTATCAATTTGCGCCGAGTACAGACAGTACTCTGCGGCAAGGCGGGACGACACTCCGATGCCACTGTGGGTCCCGACTCTCGAACAAGCTCAACCTTGACGCAGGACGCAGAACAGCAAACCATAGGTGCACCATCTGCAATGCAGAACCTACCAGGATCACCGGCCATAACCTGCAAGCCATCCTGCTGGTCCGGCTCCTCTCGGTGAATAACGAAGCCTCATGGATGGGTTCTTGGTTGCCTCGGAACGTGTTTCCGTCCCACATAGCCGTGGATTTGCCGACAACAGCTGAACAAGAGCCGCGGACGAGCGACCCGATACTCCGCGTTGGCGTGGGGGAGAAGGGCCGAAAGGGAGGGGGGTCAATTATCCAGGTCATGGTCAAGTGGCTTTCGTCTTTTCGCCTGGCCTAGAACTCGTCCGCTTCGCTTAATGGAGGGCATAGCTCGAGCAGCCAACCCGTGGCGTCTCGGTCGCAAAGCGCATCCGTGTCTAAGAAGGAAAATATACCTGGTAAGTCAGGTTGAGAGCGGCTCGCAAGCTGTGGCGGCGCGAGCGAGAGCCCCCGGTGGCTTTTGGCGGACCGGCGATCGCTACCCACTGTGGCTTTCACCCAAAGATGCCAAAATCCTGGAGCTCTATTTCCACGGCTTTGGCTATAGCTTCGACTCTTTTCCCCGGCTGAGCCCGCGTTTGGTGGGCAACCTGGTGACCTCCAAGTTTTATTGTTGTGCGGTATACTCGCTCGATTAGCTTTTTTTAGCCAAGACAAGCTGTACCATGCTTTCGGCGAAGCGAGACATTCAAAAACGTGCCCGAAACTGCACCTAGCTGAAAGCCAAACAAAGCGAGACATTCAAAACCCTACCCAGAGCTGCATCTAGCTAGAAGACAAAGACGGCACATCAAATATACGCAGTTTGCTGCGGAAGCTACCCGCCAGCATCGTGACATGTAGTCGAGTCGGCCGGAAGCCCAAATTGGGCAGTTTGACCAAGGTCGGGGGCCAGGTGCCAGTGCAACACTTAGACCGAAATAGCCGGGACATGGCCTTGTGCCGCTGGAATTCCGCCATCACACAGTGAGAAGTGAGGGCTCCGATGGCTCGCCGATGCCAGCTCACGATGTGCAATCTCGGGCGACGGGGGAGCTGAGGCCAGAAGATGGCGTTTTGGGTTCGGCCCTTTTTCGCGCAGCTTCTTCACGAGACCCTGTTCGTCTGTGTAAAGCACCACTTGCAGATGTTTGATGTGATGAGCTGCATTGTGTCCATACTCCGCATGTACAGGACCGACAATAAAGACTGCCCCGCATCCTCCCCGCGCAAGTGGCGCCGTAAGTGGCGTCGGCTCCAGAGGCTTGCTTTCATGGCTGGCCTCCACTGTAGTCTGCCGTCCAGCCCAAATCTGAATGATCTCTCTGCTGGGCTTGTCCGTGAACCCGTCTGGTGAAGCCTCCACAGCCGGGTGGAGCAACGCAAAGCTTGGCCACCAGTCCAGGGCCCAAATGACAACCCCGTACTTCCGTATTCATGTCATTCATTAACCTTGTGGGCAGGCTTGAGTGCTTTCGAAGCCGGTGCTTCTGCCATTAGACACGGCCCGCTTGTATCCATCCTGGGCGGGTTCAAGTGCGTGTGACAGGTGGAATTTTTTTTTAGAAGTATTATAGCGAGAAGCGATCCTTGTCCTCTAAGCCCGCCGACCCGTAACGTCGCCTGGAGGGCCGCCAAACTCGTTGTTGAGGTCGGGCTGCGTACGTGGTACGGAGGAACAAAATTCACTTGTTGAAGGCAAGCTTGGGTCGTGCGTGGTGCGAGCCGGATAGAGAGCCAAGACTCGGATGCCGTTCGCTACCTATTGAAGGGGCCATCTGGGGCTTGTCCAATACCGTTCTTCTGCGGGAGACATTGGGGCAAACTAGCTCATCCCCTGAGTCGGACAATGTGGAAATGGTAGCGATGACGAGATTGAAGGAAAATCTCGAAAACAAGAACGGCTCAGCGAGTGGTCATGTATCTGTCAAACAGACAAGACCTGGCAGCCGGCAACTGCCAGCTCGGCTCCGTCGTTTTGTTTGTCGCCGCGTCGGGTCGCAGGCCGACAAACACTGCTCCTGTACCATCCTTCCGTCCACAGCTCGAAATTACAACCCCGATTTGTTTATCCAGCACATTGGATTTTGGGCCTTTGGCATGCAGCGCATGACCACCATACGTTGGCAAGAATGTGCCGCCCTGCTACCAAACAAGTTGCCGAACCTGGGTAGGTAGAGAGGTATGTGCCAGTGTCGCCCATCTGTGGGGACCATTGACGGCACACAATATACACCCGACGCAGCGCTAAAAGTTGGCTTGCTGGCTTGCTGGCTTGCTTTCTCCAATTTCTGAGCTGACACTTTTAATTAGTTCCCTATAGCTACCAAGTTCCTGGCCTAGCAAAAGGCTACCCCTGTACCGCCATGACGAACATGCCATGTACCCCAAAGAGCCAAGTTGCTGATCCTGGGTGCCTAGGGGGCCGAGAGCTGCCCCAAAGGCCCTTCCGTGCTCGGCGGTCCAAGTGTATAGCTATATCAAGACAGCCGTCCCCCCCTTCCTGGCCTCACTGCTTCCTCCTCGTCCTTGCAGCGATCTGATATCCATCTTTCACCTGTCTTTCTGCTGCAGCCAGTTTAGCCAGAGTTCGCCAAGATGAAGACAGCTTCCTTCGTGGCCGCAGCCCTTCTTGCTGGTGGCAGTGACGCCATACGCCGTGTAAGTACCCTACCTCTCCGCCAACCTGGCAACAAAGACAGAGCAACACCTCTACTATGGATGTCATTTTCCTTTGCATCTTCGTATGTGATGGTTCAGAGGCTCTCATAACGTTGCTCTTCGCTTCGGTCACGGATAGTACCCTTTTTGGATACGATCTTCGGAGCGATCCTTGCATAACACGTTCTCCACTATCCAAGACAACCTCCGAGCTAATGAATGAGTGTCTCAATCTAGCGCGACACCAACAGCACAACCGACCAGACTGGTCCCCTCGCCTCCTCGCCGCCGTTCTACCCTTCGCCATGGATGGACCCTCAGGCCGCTGGTTGGGAGGATGCCTACGCCAAGGCCAGGGCCTTCGTCTCCCAGCTGACTCTACCTGAGAAGGTCAACATTACAACCGGTGTTGGGTGCGTGCCTTTATATGCCTACCCAACATGACGTAAAAATACTGACCAACGATGTAGTTGGATGGGCGAGAAATGCGTCGGCAACGTTGGCTCTGTTCCCCGCATGGGCATGAAGAGTCTTTGCATGCAAGACGGTCCCCTGGGCCTGCGATTCAGCGATTACAATAGTGCCTTCCCTGTCGGCTTGACTGCTGGAGCCTCCTGGGCTCGTCATCTCTGGCGCGATCGCGGTAATGCCATGGGCTCCGAAGCTCGTGACAAGGGAGTTGACGTTCTTCTTGGACCTGCGAGTGGCCCGCTCGGCCGTTTCGCCAAGGGCGGGCGCATCGGTGAAGCTTTTGGCTCCGACCCTTTTCTCCAGGGCCAGGCCATGGCTAACACGGTCACTGGCATCCAAGGTGCCGGCGTTGTTGCTTGTGCCAAGCACTACATCGCTAATGAGCAAGGTAAGCCGATTTTTGTACCAACGCCATGGCGCCATGCACTAATCATTGAACAGAGCATTTCCGTCAAGCCGGGGAAGCTAAGGGCTATGGCTACGATATCAGCGAAAGTCTTTCCTCCAACATCAACGACAAGATTATGCACGAGTACTATTCCTGGCCTTTCCAAGATGCAGTCAAGGCTGGAGTTGGCGCCATCATGTGCTCCTACAACCAAATCAACAACTCGTATGGTTGCCAGAACTCCAAAATGCTGAACGGTATTCTCAAGCACGAATACGGCTTCCAGGGCTTTGTCATGAGTGACTGGCAGGCTCAACACTCCGGCGTTTCCAATGCCGTCGCCGGTATGGACATGGCTATGCCTGGCGACACCATCTTCAACACCGGCCGCAGTTACTGGGGCAGCAATTTGACCGTTGCTGTCCTCAACGGCACGGTCCCTGCGTACAGAATCGACGACATGGCCATGCGAATTATGGCTTCTCTTTTCAAGGTTGGCTGGACTGTCGAGGGCGCAAAGGATACCAACTTCTTCTCGTGGAGCCGTAACACCTACGACTACCGCCACGCCGCTGCCAAGGAGAGAATGGAGCAGGTCAACTTCCAGGTCGATGTCCGAGCTAACCATGCCAACCATATCCGCGAGTCCGCTGCGAAGGGTACCGTCATTCTCAAGAACAACGGCGCCCTCCCCTTGAACAAGCCCAAATTCCTTGCCATTGTTGGTGAAGATGCTGGTCCCAACCCGAAGGGTCCCAATGGCTGTGCTGATCGTGGCTGTGATGATGGTACTAACGCTATGCTCTGGGGCTCTGGTACGTCCAACTTCCCATATCTCATCACCCCCGACAGTGCTCTGCAGCAGCAAGCCATCAAAGACGGTACTCGCTACGAGAGTGTTCTAAGCAACTACGATTGGGCCGAAACCAGCGGTCTCGTTAGCCAACCCAATGTCACTGCCATCGTCTTCGCCAACTCCAATGCTGGCGAGGGATACATCTCTGTTGATGGCAACGAGGGTGACCGCAACAACCTTACTCTCTGGAAGAACGGCGACGAATTGATCAGGAACGTCTCTGCTCTCTGCGCCAACACCATTGTCGTCATCCACAGCGGTGGACCCGTTCTTCTTTCGGAAATCTCCAAGAACGAGAACGTGACTGCCATCGTTTGGGCTGGCCAGCCTGGCCAGGAATCCGGTAACTCTCTGACCGACATTCTCTATGGCAAGACAAGCCCTGGCCGCTCTCCTTTTACTTGGGGGGCGTCTGAGGAGTCTTATGGCAATGACGTTCTCTATAAGCCAAACAACGGCAAGGGTGCCCCGCAAGACGATTTTACCGATGGCGCATTCTTTGACTATCGCCACTTCGACAAGGAATCCGACGCTAAGCCCGGCAGCGATCCCAAGGCCCCTGTTTACGAGTTTGGGTTCGGTCTTTCTTGGTCTACCTTTGAGTACTCCAACCTCCAGGTTGTCAGGAAGAATGACCGCTCATACACACCTGCCACCGGAAACTCCATTGCTGCTCCTACGTTCGGCAACTTCAGCAGAGACCTGAAGGATTATGGCTTCCCCGCCGGTTTCCAGCAAGTCGAGCAGTTCATCTACCCTTGGGTCAACGACACTTCGTCTGGTCGCGAGGCCTCGGGCGACGCCAATTACGGCAAGACTGTGGATGAGTTCCTTCCTCCCAATGCCATCGACTCGAGCCCCCAGCCCAAGCACCCCGCTGGTGGTGCGCCCGGTGGTAACCGTCAGCTTTTTGACGTGATATACGAGGTCACTGCCACCATTACGAACACCGGCAAGACCATGACGGATGAGGTCCCTCAGCTGTATCTCAGCCACGGTGGAGAGGGTGAGCCAGTTCGCGTTCTTCGTGGCTTTGACCGCATTGAGCGCATTGCGCCCGGTGCCAGTGTCACTTTCCGTGTTGAGCTCACGCGCCGTGACATTAGCAACTGGGATGTCCCGTCTCAGAACTGGGTTGCGACTGATGCTCCCAAGACTATTTGGGTAGGCAGCAGTTCTCGAAACCTGCCTCTGTCTGCCAAGCTTCAGTAAAGTGGCAGGATAAAATGGGGAGTTGTGGAGGAGTGTGCGTAGAAGTAGCATAATGAGCTTCACGTTTACTTTGCAACCTTTTTCTATTGTATTTATTTTGTTGGTAGATATCAACTACATTTCTTTCGTTACGACTCAGCGCAAAGTCGGAGACAGTGGTGCTTTGCCTCTTGCAACTGGCTAGCTTTGAAAGCTCAATGACATATTGGTAAATTGTCCGTGTCGGATCTCATTAGCTCCACCGCAGCCGCGGGATGTATCGAGGCTGAGTTGTACAAAGAACTATTTGAGGAACACAAAGGTGGCTAATGATGCTCTAGTACATACAAAGGCGGCTCACGATACTGTAGTACATGTTCGTTGTCATCTTTCTCTTGTCACCGCCATCGCTTCTAGAGCCTTCCATGTTGAGAAAAAGAAGCCCACCACAACGACGGCCATCACGCACGTGGCATGAGGGACGGCACGCTGCCGCATGCACGTTGCCTTGTTTGTTCAGCTTCAAGGCTTTTCCCCTTTATAGCCCTGCGAAGGGGGGCGGGAAGAAAAGAGGGCTGTGCAGACGAGACCCAAGTCAAGGAAATGTGAGCCGCCCTGCAAGGCTTCTTGAAATAGAAGAAGGGGACAAGAATGAAAGCGTAAGCGAAGTCGGGCGAGAAAACTGTCAAAGTTCTCTGCGCATGACTTTGGCACCTGTGAGGAGCAGGCGATGCTTTAAACTCGGGGACTTTCCCTCCTGTCCTCGAATCTCTCCCACAAGAAAAGCAAATCAGCGAGTCAACCAGCACCAAGTCAACAATCACCAGTCGCAGATTTTCATCACTGCGGATCATGTTTTTCGAGTGCAATTTGAAAAAGGAGCGTCACGAGCGGCGAGGACGATGTCGCGGCGACGATGACGACTACGGCCGACGAGGACACAGAGAGCAGCGCTGCGGAAAACCCGGCTGCCGCGAAAAGTGCGCCTACTCCAAGACGGACGGCATGAAGGTCTACGCGTCCTACTGCTGTGATCGTACGCTTTCGGCGCCCCATGCACCTGCCCCCCGTTTTGGAAAGATTTACTGACGGGAAATTTCACTTGACAGATGCCTGCCTGCTCGGAGCGCACCGATGCCGTCTTATGAAGGAGAGGAACGAGACCTACTGCCATATCCGTGAGTTCACCCCGCCGCTCATATCCTCGTTTACGTCTGGTAGGAACTTTGTTTTCGCTGACCATCCCCCGTCTTCTGCAAAGATGCCACCTGCACGGCAGCGGGCTGCCTCGCCAAGGCGGACCGCCTATCCACGAAGACGCTCCCCTGGTTCTGCGACCGCCGTGCGTTATCAACCCCTCCATCTCCCACAAAAGTCGGGCGTTTGCTAACGATGTCTCTAGACAAGTGCACGTACCCGGGCTGCGCATCCTTTGCCGAGCGTGGGGGCCGCTGCGCGACACACGCCGGCGGCGCGCTCTTCTGCTCGGCCGGAGGCTGTTCGGGTCTTTGCGGTCCGAACTCGCCGTTTTGCGAGCTCCATGCTGCCGAAAGAGGCGGTGGACCGATGCCGATGCCGATGCCAATGCAGATGCCGGGGCACAACATGGCACAGGGGTGGAATGGCCCTCCTCCACCTCCGCACGCCGGCATGATGCCGGCCCCGCCGTTCTTCGAAGGAGTTCCCGGCGCTTTCCCTGCAGCCGCTCAACCTGGCGTGCACCAGTGCGACATGCACTGCACTGAGCACCGGCACAGCAACAAGGCCTCGCAGCCAGAGAGCTTCTGCCGCACGCCCGGCTGTCACCGTCTGCGACGGGCCAGCGGCGACGGCGATTGGTGCGAGAACCGTGAGTTGCTTGACATCATCACTGGACCGCCCCCCGGCGCGTTCTGCAGAGTCCACGGCTGCGCGGCCGACACTTGCGCGCGGTTCCGGGAAGCCGGCGGTGGGTGGTTCTGCGCGGAGCACGAGTGTCGCCGGCCGCGATGCCTGGAGCGCGTCGCCCCCGGCGCGGGCTGCTGCCCGAGGCACCTGAACGACGACGGCCAGGAGGAGGAGGAGGAGGAGGAGCAACGCCGACGGGAAGGAGGGGGGCGGGAGCGCTACCAGCAGCGGCGACACGCAGGACAGGCGTGTGACGGCTTGTCAGCACCGCGAGTGGTGATTGTGCAGGGCGACGCCGTCGCTGGGTTGTCGCCGGGGTGCCGGTGCGGCGGACGGCAGCAGGGACGGCGGCACCGAAGAAACAGGTCGCTCAGCTCCGGCGAGGACGAGGACGGTTATGGTTATCGGTGCGAGGGATCTTGTGATCGGGTCGGTGGCAGATTTAGGCGAGTCTATTACGACGACTGATTATGGGAGTGGATGGCTGTGTTGGTTGTCGTCATGCTTTTGTTTTCCTTTTTCGGTCTTGGTTGGCGTTGTTGGTCTGAAGTTTGGACAGTGTTTAAGGATGGAAGGAGGAGGTCTGGCCGCCAAGAGGAATTGTTTAGTTGTTTACGGATAATTTTGATTTAGGATGGATTCATCAAGTCTTCTTCTTTCCTGGCAAATAAAATAGACCGAAGAAAGTGCATCCATCTATACCCGATGAAATATACGGCATAACACGATACATACTGCCCCAGTCCTATCCTTATGCCGCACCGCTTTTGCCTATCATAACGAACTCTACCAAACGAAATGCAAGATTCGTCCCGCCATAAAGTAGTTCGGATATTAGATTCCGTAACAACACCTCTTTTATTTTCATTTTTTTTTTCCTTTTTGCCGCAGCCGTCGTCCCAGCTTTCACCCCAACCCATCGTGAGACGCCGCGTGTAAGACGATGCCGCCGGCCCCTCCCCACCGCCAAAACCTGCGACACACGTCTGGGGATTCCGTGCTCTCACTCGCAGACTCTAGATGGATGACTGTCTCTCGCCAAATGGAAACGACGGGCTGGAGGCTCAGTCCTGCCTTCCTGCTATCTAACTAGTCACTGGTCCTCCCCCCCCGGCGCGGGTTGACTGAAATCCGGTCGTGGCTTTGGTGTCCGTCTGGTCTGGCATCTTAGTCCGTTCCAGGGCAAAACCGGGATGAGCCTCGGGGAGGGGGCCAGTCGCAGGAACTTTGGGGTTTGCTAGAGGTTTCGCCCGTACTATTGCCCTTCGTTGTTCTTATTTTTCTACTTGCTCGTCTGCGCTTCTCTCTTTTCCCTTCTTTTCCTCCTTTGTTGGTCCCTTTGCCCTACCCGTTCCGTTCTTTGCAACCCCGTCGTTCAACCCGTCTTTATCTCTCGCAGGCGAGGACGCAACATTGCTGGTCAATACACTTCTCTTCTCTCTATTTCTTTTATTGCCTTTTGCGAAGAAAAAAAAAACTTGATAATTAATCGCCGGCCGAAATAAAGCACCGACGCTTCCCCGACAAAAACCATGGGTGCCAATCTGTCGTCCACCTTTGAGCCAGACCTCTCCAAGGTCGTCCTCAGCCCGCAGGATCGATTCGCCGACATCCTCGTCGGCGTGCTCTGGGCCGGTGCGCTGTACGCCATTCTCATGATCTGGACGACTTGTGCCCTCATCGATCGCTGGAGAGGCCCCTCCGACAAGATACGCACGGGACCAGGGTCGGTCTTTGCCGCATTGATACTCTCTACAGCATGGCCCGTCGTCATGGTATACATCCTGATGAACAGTTAATGGGCTCGGACCCTGTCGTCTCTGGAGGACGAGGATTGGTGGATTGGTGGATCGCTGGACCGTTGGACTGTTGGGTTGTCGGAGTGCTGGACGCTGAACTGCTGGGCTGTTGGGTTGCTGGAACCGGAGCATTGGGAGCATCGTCTTTGTCTCTTTGGTCGTGTACTTGTCTCGCTGGAATTGAATTGGCGTTTGATATTCAACCCCCTTCTTGTGCACGTGGATATTGTCTCGACCGCCAGCGTCTTCGGCAGCAGGGGCGTGAGCCCCCATCAGCCGACCAGTGTATTTCTTCTACTTCTATCCAGCCGTACACTCTTGCGCCCGACAATCGTCTCCAGAGCCTGCGCCAGTGCCTTTGCGTCATACCGCCCGCCCAGCCCCGCCGCGTCCTTGGGCCCGTACAGCCTCGTAGACTCGATGCCCAGCCGCGAGAGCCGCTGCTTGTCCACCACCGGCGACACGGAGCTCTCGAGGTAGATGACGTGGCTCACGTACTGGGCGTACTGCTCCTCCCCCGGGGGCGGCAGGCCGCGGGAGTCCGCGCAGGCGTTGGCGATGGCTCGGACGAAGTCGAGCCCCGTGAACGGCTCCGTGGATGGGCCGGTCTCCCTGTCGAGCGTGCCGTTGAGGATCAAGATCTTGTTCCGGACGAGGGGGTTCATTATGGCCTCGCCGATGCCTTTTAGTACCAGATTGGGGATCAGCGACGTGAAGAGGGAGCCGATGCTGTAGATGACCGTGTTGGACGTGTTGATCGCGTCTAGCACGCGCGGGTTCGCGGGGATGCGGATCTCCTGGCCGTACGGGTTGATGTACCATATACGCGCTATCCGCGAAGGCAGGTCCTCGTCCTTTTCCTTTGAGAAGTTGATGGCCGGCCGCCGCAGCGCCGGCAGGCTCCCCGGCAGGTTCGCGTCCTCAACCGTGTCGTGGTCCTCGGTGTCGTAGTCGGACGGCGCGGGCGTGTGCGACCCCGTGCCCACGCCCGGCACCGCGGCCGTGGGCAGGCTCGGGTGGGAGATGTCGTTCTGACCCGTGATGACGTCGCCGCCGACCAGCCCGGCGGCGATGTGGTGCGCGAAGTTGGTGTTGAGCGCGGGCAGGACGGCGACGCGGTCGCCGGGGACGGCGCAGAGCGAGCCGAGGAGGTAGATGGCGGCCTCGAAGCTGCCGGTGAAGAGGCGGGCGCCGGTGAGGAAGAGGTTGCCGATGCTGGCGCGGGAGAAGTCGAAGCGGCTGCTGGGCCGCATGCGCTTGACGACCTCGAGGTTGAAGCTGTTGAGGTGCGAGCGGATGAGCTCGCGCTTGGGCGAGGGGATGTCGCGCCACAGCGGGTGCGCCGCCTCGATCATGTCGAACCACTCGCTGCGCGCGGCCGCGGCGTCCCGCGGCAGACGGTGGTTGAAGAGGTGCTTGATGGCGGTGGTCTCGGGGCTCCCGTCGTCGGGAATCAGCCGGACGAGACGCGACCGGACGTCGCCGATGCCGGGACCGCCAAAGACGCGGATGATCTCGCTTGTGCTGCCGCCATTGTCGGAGATGGGGATGACGTAGCTCAGCGAGGTGCTGTTTGCCGCGCGGACGCTCTCAAAGACGTCGACGAGGCTGTTAGCAGCGCTCCCGCCAGAGAAGACGACGATGCCTGTTCGTGTTGGACCAGGGCTGACGGCGCGTCGTGGAAGCACTGTTTGTGGTGAGCCAGAGCTTTTCTCGCCCTGGGGATTGGGTAGCTGGAGCGCGTCAGGGGCCATGAAGTGCCGGGGTCAAGGGTAATTGGGTGCTGCTAAGTTTGATGGGTTGAAATGACCATGATTCTTGGAGGCTAGCCTCCTTGAGTACATAGAGTTAAGAGGCTTGTGATGAGGCTGTCGGAGTTGGCAGACTGGCATCTTGAGTTGTGGCGGAGTGACCAACCTTGGCATCTCCTTATGTGGGGACATGCTGAGAAACGCCGCTTCCAAGACTCAACCTGCACAGGCAAGCCGTCGTGGTCAGGATATGTGTCTGTAGATTCCTACTCCTCTAGAAGGATGCGAAATTTAGATTTAGACTTTCATTCTTTGTATTGGCTGCAGTTGTCAAGTGATTAGTGCGCGCATGCAGCTGCGCACGCCGTGCCCGACGGTCCACGACACGACCTGACCCACTGATGAGATGAACTGCCCGAGCGGACGCCTCGGTTCGGTTCCAACAACGAAGGTACATAACAAGCTCCAAGCTCTCCAATAACTTTCAGTTAACTACAAACACATTTAAGCTATTCTGACCATCAGAAACCAAAGCAAACCATCATCGCTCAGCTAGCCTCTGAGCCCGGCTCCCCCAAACTAGTTAGGCCATGACCCAACTCTGTGGTCGCATCCCCAGGCCGGTCCGCTCATGTGCCACCATTCCCGGGGCCGTGGCGGCCACCGTGCTACTCGGCATCTACCTCCTCGTGCGACCAGCACTAGGGGAATTGGAGCCGCTACCCATCGACCGTCACATCATTCGCGCGCGGACTCGAGGCGAAGCAGCCTCGTCCACGGAAAAGACGGCCGATGCCGAGCCCCCATATCGGCTAGATGAGTTCCCCGGCGCAAGGCAGCTTCGCACCTCGTACGGCACGATGCAGGTTTTCGAATGGGGGCCCGAAGACGGAGAGAAGGTCCTCCTAATCCACGGTATCGGCACGCCATGCATAGCCCTGGGTGACATGGCCCGAGAATTCGTCGCAAAAGGCTTCAGGGTAATGCTGTTTGGTAAGTCTCTTTGGCTTGCAGCGTCTCCAGTGACACGTCCACATTACTAACAGAAATCATCAAGATCTCTTCGGAAGAGGATACTCAGATGCCCCGGCTGATCTGCCATATGACGATCGCCTCTACACCACGCAGATCCTGCTCGGGCTGTCCTCGTCGCCGCTGCCGTGGACCGGCTCCTCCGTCTTCCACATCCTCGGCTTCTCCCTCGGCGGCGCCATCGCCGCCTCCTTCGCCACCTACCACGCCAACATGCTGCGATCCGCCACGCTCGTCTGCCCCGCCGGCCTCGTGCGCCCCGCGCACATATCCTGGAGCAGCCGCCTGGCCTTCATACTGGGCGACCACATCCCCGAGTTCCTGGTCCAGCGCCTGGTGCGCCGGCGGCTGCGGCCGTCGTCGTCCCAGCACTCCAGCGTGGACATCCCGGACGGCGCCGAGGACGCTGACGTCGACTTTAACGCGGTGCCCGTTGGTGGCCGCACGATCGGCGAGGTGGTGCGCTGGCAGTTTGACGGGAACGACGGGTTCGTGCCCGCGTTCGTGAGCACCATCCGCAACGCGCCCATCTACGCGCAGCACAAGACGCTGTGGCCGCGGCTAGCAGAGGCACTGGCGGTGCGGCGGCGGCAGCCGGTGGACGGGGAGGCGGCTGAGCGTCGTCCGGTCGGGATGTCGACGGGGCGGATCTGCCTGATCGTGGCAGACAAGGATCCCATCATCGTGGGGGCGGAGTGCGTCGAGGACACGCGCGCTATCTTGGGTGAAGATGGTGTGGATGCTTATATCCTCAAGGGAGGTCATGAGATTGCCATCTCGCGTGGCAAAGAGATTGCCAACATTGCCATTGAATCTTGGACGAAATTTAGAAAGGAATAGAGCCGCGCGGTTGTGGTTAACCACCACTACCATCTTACGCTACGGCATATTGGACCTTCTAGACATTTTACAATCGACTCAAGTAGCTACGTAACATAAAATTAAAGATGAAATTAAGGCAGGGAATAATAGTAGATTAATATGATCCCCCAAAACGGAATGGATGGCTCCCATGTGGTTCAAAGTACAAACCGGCCAACAGGTATTCAAGGCTGGCGAATGCGTTGATCGTACAACAGCGCGATTAATTGACGAATCAAGCCGTGGCCGTCCGCTCAAAGTGGAAAGACCCTGAGATTGGAATGCATCTGCATCGGCTGCACAGCCTCGTGCGTTTCCGCAGGGCAGTGCAAACCACTCAGCTATCGCCTCACAGCTCACAGCCTCATTGGACCGAGACTCTGCGATTGCTAGCTGCTGATTGTCGGGTTGGGAATGCTGCGACTTCATTAGAACGAAAAGGAGAAAATTCAAGTGGAAAATCTGTTTTGCCATTGAACTATATACAACTGTAGAATAAAATGTTGATTAATTCGTAAGATGCTTGCATTACAACATCAAGACAGCAGACGACTAACTCGTTGCTGCTCCGAGAGTCTTTCCATGAACTGGGCGAGCCGTTCACTGAGATGTTAGGTAGCCCTCTCATGCAACCCAGACAGGGAAGTGTCCCTGGACTTAGAGAAGCGAAGCGATGGCGACGATGAGACCACCAGCGATACCGGCAAGGCTGACACCGACGATGCCCGCAGAAGACACCGGGGCGTTGCCGCCGCCGACGCTGACCGAGGTGGTAGTGCTGCCACCGTTACCGCCACCGATCACGCTCGTCGGCACGGATCTCGTCTGCGTCGGGGTCGGGGTCGGCTCATCATCACCGCCGAGCGCAGTCGTGCGCGCGGAGGTCGCGGCCGGCGTCAGGCGACGGGTGGTGGTGGTCGGGGTGACGCGGGTGGTCGGCGCTGCGGAGGTGGGCTCGTCGTCGTCGACGGTCGAGGTCGGGCGGGAGCCGCCGATGATGGTGGTGCTGGGCTCCGGGGCGTCGCCGCGGCAGCGCTTGCCGATCGGGCAGCAGCCCCAGATGTCGTTGGCCGCGATGCCGCAGACGTAGCCGATCTGGCACGCGCCGGCGCCGTTGCCGCAGCACGAGTAGGTCAGCTGGATGCACTTGGTGCCGCAGGCCTTGCCGCCGAGCGAGGCGCAGCTCTGGTCCTGGCGCGCCTCGAGGGGCGACGAGGAGAGGAGGGACTCGGCCAGGGGCTCGAAGCTGGCGTACGTCTCCTGCTGGGCGGCGACGATGCCGGCCGAGGAGGCGACGAGGGACAGGATGGCGAGAGCGTGCATTGTGGAGTGAAAGTTGAGGGACGAGGAGAGTTCGGGTGCGTTTGGAAGAGAGATGGGCAAAGTATAACGGAGAGTCTTGAGGATCGGGATATCGGGAATACAGCTACGATGCCGGACAAAGGTCTTCTTATACATGACATGACGGCCAGCCACAGCCGCTCGCCTCGCACTCATAACCCATCTATTTCAGCCGCTGAAAAGCCTAAAGACTAAATTTCCTGGAAACAACAGCCTTGCCGCTCCACTAACATGAGGATCGTCCCTGGCCGGGGTCGTGAGAGCGCGGTGTTGACAGAAGAAAGTAGAATAGCCCCTGACAAAACAAAGTGAGGCGTTCCACCGAATTCACTCGTGGCGGCGGGTACTCAAGCCTCGTAGGCTGACAGAGGACAACTTTACTGCTTCGTCCAGGAGACAGCTGCCTGGGGGTGCCCCATGTGCTTGTCTCTCAGCGGATGAGTAGGGCTGATGTTATTCGGTGGGCACTGGGCCGCCAAGAGAGATTAAGTGCGCCTAGTTTCAGACCTAGATGCCACCCGATAGTTTATTTCCAGCTTTCCGCGGCGCTTTGCTCTGCCGTTGAAAGTCACACCACGGTTCTGTGTTGCTGTTGGTCACCTCTCCGTTTCCGCACTCTCAACGGGTGAGAGTCGACGTGCAACTCCCTCTTCGTAATGTGAAAACAACGCAACTGCTTTGTCTGAATAGTTTCAGAGCAATGACCAGTACCCTTGGTCTTTGCGCTTCTCTAGTCAACATTAAAAACTGGATCAAAGGGACTAGGGCGGGTGCGGCTGAAGTCAGCCCTGGTTGTCTAGTCGTGAGGCTGAACGCGAGATATACGGTGAAAAGTTGCCCAACTCCACTGGTAGCAAAAGTACAATTGGGCACAGGTTTGTGAAACTGACAAATTAAACACTCTAGAATGAAAGTGACTTGATTCTCGCAACGTCATGTCAAAATGCCCTGGCTTCTGCTGCCAAGGTGTTGTCAAGACATTTGTATAGACAACCCAATGGAGGAATACTGGTATAGAAAACCAAATACCCTCCAAACATTGAAATACACCAACTAGCCAAATGATCAGACTGCCTCAGCATAGGGGGGCGCCTCGTCCAGATACCGCGTCCTGCTCCCCAAGCCCTTCTGCATCCGCCGCAGTAGCCTCGCCAGCTCGACGCCGCCCCAGGCCACCGTCGAGCTGGGCGCCTTGCCCGGCAGTATCGGCAGCTGCCCGCGCATCGGCGGCAGCATCCTCGCGTTGCACACCCTCTCGACCTGTAGGCAGAAGCGCGCCAAGTGACTCAACAGGCCCCAGCCCGTCTTGTCCGGGCACTCCGCGTCAAACTCACTCCCTCCCCCCTTCCTTCTGGTGTAGAAGATGCGCAGCGCCACCGGCCGCCGCTGGTGCCTGCTGCACGGCAGCTCGCTGTCGCCTTGGATCTCGCAGAGCCGCGCCGCGTCCCAGAGCTCGCGGAAGGCGCCGCGGACGGCCGGCCGGTGGATGAAGCGGTGCAGCGCGTCGACGGTGGGGAAGCCGAGGAGCTGCGCGGCCTCGCTCAGGGTGGGCACGCGGCCGCCGTTGCCGGGCGAGACGAGCGTGACCTGGTGCCGCCGGCCCTCGGCGAGGTCGACGCCGCGGTCCCACTCGTGGACGGAGAGCAGGTCCTGCGCCGGCTGCCGCGTGCGCCGGCCGGTCTCGTCGTCCACCCAGCCGGGCAGGAAGACGTGGCCGAGGGTGATGGTGGTGCGGGTCTTGCGGCCGGGGACTGCCGGGTTCGGGAGCAGGATGGTGAAGGGCGGTCGGGGCATGCTGGCGCGGCCGCTGCGTCGCCACCGCTCCCGGCACTCGTCGTAGGCGGGGCTGAAGAAGTGCTCGCCGCCGGAGAGGGTGGTCATGTGGCGGATGACCTGCTCGGCAGGGTAGATGTGCTGTGCCTGGTGGAAGTAGTCCCGCTCGAGGATGGAGTCCGTGTCGGCCGAGAGGTCGGTGCAGGCTCTGGTTGTGAGGCGCTGCATCAGGGCGACGAACCTGTTAGCCTCGAAATCTGGAAATACCTGACTCCCGTATTCGCAGACGCTGGTGCTGTATACGTCGTCGTCGTCGTCGTCGTCGTCGGTATCCATGACACTGTCAGTCACGGTGCTTGCGTACCCCTCCTCTTCCTCTTCCTCTTCCTCTTCCTCTTCCTCTTCCTCTTCCTCTTCCCCCTCCTCTCCTACGTCTACCTCATCTTCCGCATTCCCCTCATCTTCCGCATTCCCTTCATCTTCCGCATTCCCCTCCCCTTCCGTGCATCTCTCCCCTCCCGCGTCTTCCTCTCCTTCGACGACTTCCTCCCCTTCCACAATCACACTCCCCGGTCCCGCCACCACAATCTCCGACATGATCTCAGAGAACTCCTCGGAGAATGGCATCATTAACTCTGGATATGGGGTCAAGGGGCGCCATGCCAGCGAGTCGCTGGCATCGAGGTAGTCATCCTCCCACTGCGCGGCATCCCGTTCTTCAAGGAGCCTCTGCTCCCGGGAAGGTCCCGCGCGGCGCAGCAAGCTATCGAGGGCCTGATAGCTTGCTTGAGGACCAAACTCACTTTCGTTCTCCAGTAAGTGATAAATAATTTCCGGGTTGTGTCCGTCACTGGTAAAGAACTGATGGGCAGGCATCTCTGGTCGATGCCAGGAACGGGTGACGTTCCACTGTGAGAATGCTATTACGATGCTTTGGCTTGGTAATCAGTGTGCTTCCATGTCAATCATTCATAATCTCGTTGGGGGCAGAGTATTGAACATTATATAGTCTTATTGGGAGGTTGCTCGAGCGCTATTTTGGGGGTGTAACAACCTGTGCAATGGATCACAGCTCCAAAAGGTGTACGAGACAAAGAACAAGCGCCTCGATTCTTATTGGGGGCGGTTAATATTTTATTCTCTGTGGCTAGTCGTTATTTCGAGATGTCTTGAAGTGATAATTATACTTCTTCTGTATTCCCAGCGAGACTGCTTGTCACAGCGGGGGTTCTTGATTGCTTCGTGCGGGCGAAACAAGGTTTATTTTCCAACTCCAGTAGACTCAGCTAACATCAGAGTTAATATAAATCACGTAAGGCTACTGAACTAAAATCAGGAATAATCTTATAATGTTCACTTTGATTTGTATGGTTCAATAGTCGGTGGACTACGTGACTGGGTCGAGCCACAGGCAACACAGAGCCTGGTCAGGCGCAACTGTGAATAGTAACTCTCTTGACGCTAAGGTACAACAACTCTTGTGTGGCCAGTACTACCTTTCTTTATGTCAGGACCATAAAGCCGTTGCTAAGCTTTTTTCAGTGTAGCATAGTATAGGCAGTCTGAAAGCTGCCACGCAACGGTTTGATCGTCGGACAAGGTGCAGGAATGCTGGCAGGCGCGCTGTATCAGCGTCACACAACAAGTACAATATCAGTAGAACAAAGAAAATAACAAGATTTCTATGATTATTTTAAAATAGCTTTTACCGTTGTTGAAAAACAAATTTCTTTGTAGTATGTTTCAAAGTATTCTCAAGTTCAACGAACGGGTCGGACAGAGAGACTCGAGTCTTATCCCTGGGCATAAAGCTTAAAGCAGCACTCGGCCTACAGGGTCGAGACAGGTTGTGTCAACCAATCAGCCTTGTGAATCGCCCAGACGGGTAGCTGCTTTTTGGCAGGCGGGTGGCTGTGGCTTTGTGGCTGAACTGAACCCGTCCGTCTCCTTACAGGGCTTTCAGCGGCCACTCATCACTGGCCAGCCCACTAAATCTCCACCATATCCCGTCTGTCCGCCAACTCTAATCCATTGCCTTAGTGCCTCTAACCTGAGGTAACCTCAAGTTAAAAGACAGCGAGGCTCCCCTTCCCCAGAACCCCTACAAATGGCTTCAGGGGCTTCCAGGGACAGGTTCACCCACTGTAGCCGCTGTCGTTACTCCGCTCGCGTGACCCAAACTCGCCCAACCCACCAACCATCCCATCCTCTCTGCCATTGCATCTCCAGATCCAGCGTCAATGTGAAACTCAGCTGCTGGCCATTCTCTTTCTTCCCTCGCTTTTTCTTTTCTTCACCATTGCCTTTGATTTTCCGCATCATCCTTGCTCATTGTCCCTCCCCCCACACAGCATGCTCTTGGCCCCTCGGCGCTATGTGCGCTCCATCCTGGGCGGCCTGGTCATCTTCGGCCTTCTCTACTGGGGCCTCCTCGTCACGTCGCCGGCCCTCGGCGGTGCCACCTCGCACCAGGCCAGTCTGGAATACTTCATGAACGTAGAGCAACACCCCGACGCGTCACCGGTCATATTCAAGCCGAGCAGCTTCGACTGGGGCCAGGCGCCGCACCGGCACCTGCCACCGGACAACGTCACCCCGCTGCCCGCGGACAAGGCCCGCGCCCTGCCCAGGGTCCAGCACGTCTTTGGCCCGGAGTCGCCCGCGGCCGCGCGCGTGCGCGAGAAGCGCCGGTTGGCCGTCAGCCGCGTGTTCCAGGACGATTGGGCGAGCTACCGCAAGTTTGCCTGGAAGATGGACGCGCTCAACCCCAAGTCCGGCACCGGCAAGAGCCAGTTCTCCGGCTGGATGGCCACCCTCGTCGACGGCCTCGACACCCTCTGGATGCTGGGCCTGCGGAAAGAATTTGACGAAGCGCTCGCCGTCGTCGCCGAGCTCGACTTTGGCCGGTCCACCGACCCCCGCGTCAACGTCTTCGAGACCACCATCCGCTACCTCGGCGGCTTCCTCGCCGCCTACGACCTTAGCAAGCGCGAGGTCCTACTCAAGAAGGCCGTCGAGCTCGGCGACATGCTCTACTCGGCCTTTGACACCGAGCACTACCTGCCCGTCGACTTTATGCAATTCGAGACCGCCAAGCGCGGCGTGGGCTTGGAGGTCGAGTCCTGGGTGGTGTCCGCCTCACCCGGCACGCTGTCGCTCGAGATGACGCGCCTCTCCCAGCTGACCGGCGACCCCAAATACTACGACGTTACCAACCGCCTCATGGAGCTCTTCCGGGACCAGCAGAACGCGACCCGGATCCCGGGGCTGTGGCCCGTGTGGATCTCGATGGCCAACCGGGACACCAAGAGCCGAGAGGACTTCACCCTCGGCGGCAGCGCCGACTCTCTCTACGAGTACCTCCCCAAGATGCACGCCCTGCTCGGTGGCGGCAACCCCATGTACGCGGACATGACGAGGCAATTCCTGGACGCCGCCACGAAGGAGCTCTTCTTCCGGCCGATGCTGCCCGGCGGCGAAGACATACTCATCTCCGGCGCGGCCAAGGTGTCGGACGCGGGCCGGGTCGCCTTCGACCCGGAGAGCGAGCACCTGACGTGCTTCATCGGCGGCGCCGTCGCGCTGGCCGGCAAGCTGCTGGCGAGCCCCGCCGACGTGGCCGTGGGCGCCAAGCTGGCCCGGGGCTGCGCGTACGCGTACCACGCATTCGCGAGCGGCGTCATGCCGGAGCGGTACAACATGGTGCCGTGCGAGCCGCGGCTCGCCGACGCGTGCCCGTGGGACGAGAAGCGCTGGGAGGAGGGCATCAAGGTCCGCAGGGAGTACAAGGAGACGCTGCCGCGGGGGTTCACGACGGCGAAAGACCCGCGGTACCTGCTGCGCCCGGAGGCCATCGAGAGCCTGTTCCTGCTGTACCGCATGACGGGCGACGTCGAGTACCAGGAGTCTGCGTGGCGCATGTTCGAGGCGGTCGAGCGGCACTCGCGTACGACGCACGGCCACGCGGCCATCCTCGACGTCGTCGGCGTGTACGACGAGGCGTCGCGGCAGAAGAACCTGGAAGACTACATGGAGGTGAGAGCGCAAGAACAAAGCCGGTGTATATGGTTGTGTGATGGATGCTAACGGTGAAAAACAGAGTTTTTGGTTTGGAGAGACGCTCAAGTACTTTTATCTCATCTTTTCTCCTCCCGACTTGATTAATTTGGATCACTACGTTTTCAACACAGAGGCGCATCCATTCAAGCGCCCGGTATAATCTACAGGGAGAAGTCTGCCTGCGTTAAGGGCCAGGTACTGGTACTGGGCCGGCAAACAAGGACAGGCTAAATGAGCCGAGTAGCTCTGTAATATTGACATGTATCAGACATTGTATGGACTTCGCTTTCAAAAGTCGTGTCTCGCGCTGGAATTTTCATCCTTTGAAAGGGATATCTGTATTTTACAACACAAAAAATTACAGCTTCGAGTACACATGCGGGTGATGGTGGAGGGTCCACACCAGCTTGCCACTACTCTGAAGTTTCCAGTCTGGCTCACCGGATACAACGGAGAGACGTTGAAAGGAGCTCTGTCACAGCTTCGTTTCCATCTTTTTTACCATCTCTCACATCACCGTCTACACATGGCATCGTCCATCATCCCGTCCAGCCTATCTCGAAGCCTGCGACGTCCCATCGGTCCGTCGGCCTCCTTTGCCTCCTGCCACGCTACTTTCCAACCTTAAACTAACTCCGGCGCACACAGCATCGTCGTTTCCCAGCCTAGCCGTCTTCGCGACTGGTCAGGGAGCAGCAGCTTATTCTCCTCGTTTCACATCCGCGCAGCGGCAGAAGTGGAAGTGCTCAGCGGCTCGACGTTCGTTTGCGACAGCGCCTCTAGCAGCGAAGCAAACGACCACATTCCCCGGCAACACCATGGCGCTCGCCACGGTTCTTAACCCGGACTTTCTAAAGTCGGTTCGCGACTTCTGGTACGAGCACCTGCCGGGCGACGACGACCTCGTCATGCCCGGTCAGGTCGCCTACCAGCGCTGGTACGCCGGCGGTGCCGAGTTTGACCGGGCCTGCGTGTACGTACCACCCAACCAGCCACGAATTGACTGACCCGGAACCTGATCCCCTGCTTTCCCAGATCCCGTTTCGAGCCCGCCCTGGACGCCATCCGCGCCTCCGGCCTCGACGGCGCCGGCCTCGTACGCGCCGTCCACCCTGCGTCGCCCGTCGACTGGCTCGGGCTCGTGCTCCTCCTCGACCAGATCCCGCGCAACTGCTACCGCGGCCCATCCTCCCGCCTCGTCTTCACCGTCTTCGACCCGCTCGCCCTCGCCGTGGCCCGCGCCGCCCTGCCGGCGGCCCTCGCGGCGCCCGAGATCCGCTGGCAGCTCGCGCAGCGCGTCTGGTTCGCGCTGCCGTTCGAGCACGCCGAGGACGCGGCCGCGCACGAGGAATGCCGCGCGCAGTGCGAGGCGCTGGCGCAGGACGTCGAGGATCTGCTGGCCGAGGGCGAGGAGGCGGGGGACGAGTACAGGCGGCGGGTGTGGAGGGTGGCGCGCAAGGATCCGGGGGCGGCGCGCGCGCTGGCCCGCGCGCAGGTGGACTTTGCAAAGCGTCACGAAGATATCATAGTGCGATTCGGGCGCTATCCGCACCGCAATGAGCCGCTGGGGAGGGAGACGACGGCGGAGGAGAGGGCGTTTCTGGAGGGCGGCGGCGACACGTTTCAGCAGAAATAGCCGGCCTCGGTATCTGCGCTGATGGCTTGTTAAATTTCCAAGGATTTAGCGTTTATTACTTGCCCTGTATGTGCGAGGTTGCTGGATGCGGTGCAAGGCTACCGCCGAGGTGACTGCTGCTGTAATACAAAGGATAGAAGCAGACCACACTCATGCTCAGCACCCAATCAAGGAGGGACAAGACGACCACTCTGTGGTAGGACAAAGTTGATGTCGGCCAGTACCCTGCAGGGCGCTGAATTTGTGCGCTTCTGCTGCCTGGCAAGCTTATATATCAACTAGCAACCCGCTGGCTCCTTTGCGTCATGTGCCTGCATGAGAGGAACAACACTCAAATCACTCGGTTCTCTTGGCTTTCAGTACAGGACAGCTACCTTCCTACAAAAGAAAACAGGCGACAGAGCAGGAGACAGCTCCGCACTCAAAGCCCTCATTACTCGGTATGTAGTTGAATGAGAGCATTGTTATCGCGGACTCGGCTGACACTTAGCAGGTGTGGGATTTGGATACCGAAATTATGACGCTCGAAGATATGGGCAGTGAACGTCCTAAAATTTCGGATGTTATGGAGCTTCGAAATTGGCTGGTGGCCGAATTACTGGAAATACAGGACAGTGTGCAGGCCCTGAGGGACAAGACGCCAGACCATATCAAGGCACTCTTACCCCCTCCGAATGCGACCAAGTTCGAACAAAACGAGTCCGACTCCAGCTCAGCTTCGAAGACGTGATTGGTTCTGTGATTTTAGTCATTGAGGAGCTCCAAAAGTCAAACGCAATTATTGTTCAGATAGCGGAGGAACTCGAAAATGGGCCCTCGGTCATGCCTTCCTTTCTACGGCGGCGATAACCAGGCAGACATCTACGCCGCGATCAAGAATACTAGTACCAGCATAATGACAGGTAATGGATCTTTCTTATAAACATCCACACTACCGACTGGCTCACCTCGTCCACTTTGGTCATTTCCTTGTCCATCTCTAGCCGCGCAAGCTCTTGCTCATGTTGAGCAGCATCAGTAGCCGGGCCGTGATGCTATGTACATAGTACCTGATGGCTACTGATTGACTGTCTGGTCAATCCGTCAACTACTTATTCAATAGAAACTCGATAAATATAGAATGATACACTTGGGGTATACTTGAAGCGTGCAATTAAATTTACAAACTTTCCTAATGATCTCACAGAGAAGTCACAGTGCAGTTTAGGATGCGTTCTGTAGAAAATCTATTCATCTTCGGCGAATTACAGTGTCCAGTTTGTGAAAATGGCACAGTACGTTGATGCGCAGGGGATCTTGCCCCGTATAGGCAATTCCGCAGTGCTATTTTATAGCCTAGTCTGACCATGCTGCTTGATCAGACGAGAGTCGCGACTAGAGACTTAAAGCAGCGCTGAGACTAGTCCCATTGTCGCAATCAATTGACTTGGACCCGACCACATCTCATCCCACGTTCGTCACCAACTGCTCCGAGTTGCGCGTAAACAACCCCTTCCATGGAGGCGTCACCGCTCACTCGGCAGCCTCAACCGGAGGCCTTTACTCCAAAGATAAACCAACTATACGAGGAGCTCTTTCAGGCAAGCCTCGCGTGCCCCGTGCCCCGTCCAGCGCCGCAGAGTTGCTAACTTGCTCCATAGGTTCGGCTGGCTAGCCAGATGCCCGACCTACGTTTTCCCCTCAGCCCGCGACTGACCTCGAGCTACGATATAGGATGTTGAGGAGGGTCGGCAGTCCACGGGCTTCTGGAGGGAGTTCTTCCTCCTCAAGCCGGACCTCGCGACCCTGCGGAAGCTGCTGCAGGACATCTCCCCCGCCGACATGCTGCTCTTGGAGGGGCAGTCGCAGGAGCTCTTTGGCGAGGCGATTGACGCCCTCAAGTCTAGCCGTGGCAGCGCCCCGCGAAACGCACTGGATGTTAGTCGAACGATACGATACGATACATGAAGACGATGACGACTCCTGACTCCCTTTCATAGACGCTGAGGGTGTTTTTGTCCTGTGCCCTGACGAAGCGATATGCCCACCCGAGCTCGGCGATAATATCACTGCTGGCCGGCTTGGACCGCATCGACCCCGTCTTTACAGATTTCGTCAGCACTCTAGATACGGCAATCAGGACCGGAGAGGACTGTACGTGTCTTGTTTGGAGCCCGCCTAGATACCCGAGTACTCATTGATGACAGTGGAACAACGACACAAGGCAATCGGTGTATTGCTAGCTATTACTGCCGGCGCATACCAAACGACGTTGCTTACCTACATGATACAAAGGGACTTATTCCCTGCTGTCATCAAGGTGAGCCTTCGAACTCCTCCCAATTGCCCTGTGCAAAGCTGACCAAGCATGGCTAGTTCATCCAAGATGCCGAGTCACCAGCCATGGTGCTAGAGCCTCTCATCCTGCTAAGTCTCCTAGCCAACTATAACAAATTCGAATTCCAGAATCCATATCAGCTGCGATTAAACGACTTCATCAACGAAGGGGCCATGACCACCATTGTCGATTGCATCGGGATGGCGTGCCAGGTGATTCGCACCGACTACGTTAACGTTCAGGACGATCTACCCGAGGGCTGGACGTTCACCAATGCGCTCGGGATGCTGGGCCTTGGTGCTATAGCTCCAGGCGCCAAGCAAGAGAAGAAGCCAGTCTACGACGCCGAGACGGCGAAACAAATGTTTACAAAACTGTGAGCCTGCTTCTCCCCAAAGTCAATGACCCTACTCTGACCTGCCGCAGTCCAAAAGAGCGGGCAGCGATGCTGCTAGCCGCCTACGACTTTAGTCATGCCAATAAGCTGTTCTGCACCAGCTTCGTCACCGCCACTGGCGAAAAAGGAGCCGAGCGACCAATGGCAGCGTACTTGTCCCTCACATCCTACCTTCTTCAGCATGCGCACCTGTCGCATCGCTCAACATACTACGCGCACCTAAACCTCATGGTGTTCCGGCTTCTCATAGAAGACCAGTCCATCTGCAAAATTCTGTGCAGCGACGAGTCGAAGATGAGCGTCCGCCTCTGCCGCCACCGGCCGCCGTTCCTGCCTCTCGTCAAAGGCGAGCGAGTATTGGCATGCTCGCTTCTCGACGCCATGATTGACGGCATCAACCATAATCTCAGAAAGAGACTCGACGTGTCGCTGTACACCCTCTGCTTGGGCATACTGCTTCGCGTCATCTCATACGTGTCGCGCTCGCGGACACGACTGCACTACCACTGGGCCGAGTTCTTCAGATCCTTGCTCTCGCTGCTGCGCTTCCTCACGACCTACACGTCAGACCTGAAGGACCTGTCGCACATGGACACCCTCGTCGACCACGTCGTCAACCTGCTCGCGCTGTCTCTCTCCGCCGGCGAGGCCTTCCTGCCGACGCCGGCCGCGTACGATGACCTCTTCTACAAGATCGTAGAGAGCGGCGAGGTCCTGACCAAGTTCAAGGACAACTACGGGCTGGGCCGGCGGGCCGGCGGCAGCTCGATCGACACGCTGATCAGCGTCAGCGCGCACTACAAGCAGCTGCTGCTGGCCGAGGGGGGCGGGAAGAAGAAGGCGAAGCCCAGCAGCCTGACGACGACGCAGGTGACGGACGTGATCAAGCAGGGCTACGAGACGCTGAGCATCCAGGCCAAGGAGGGGCTCGACTCGTGGGATAGATATAGGGAGGCTGACGATCGCATCCTACTCAAGAACATGACGCGAACGGCGGTCGCGGATGTTCGCGAGCTGGTGGAGCGCGAGTAATCGTGTATGATATATGTAGAAAAAAACGACTGTTGGTCCTCTTGGAACCCTTCTCGTTCAAATCGCATCGGGGCTACAGAACCGGACAGTTTCGACAGAGAGCTCTCTCGCGGTCTCGGCAGACTCTTACAAGCAAGTCCTGGCTTCAGCCGTCATCCCTAGACGGCGGCAGTTCTCGTCCTGTTGAGACTCGAGCCCTCAGTAACATCGCCGACGCCGGAACGTCGCGCTCCCATCCGCAGGGGAGCCCGGCCCAAGGAGTTGGCCCTCACGGCCGTCGACACCCACGTAGCTGCCGGGTAGCATTCGCCATGCCACTTCTTTCCGAGCAGGTTCGTCCCGACTAGCCGCGCTACGAAACCGCCCCCCCCATCTAACTAGCCCAAAATTACAGGGCACGAGTCAATCTCCAATAGAGCTCACCATCATGGCGCCATTTGTTCGTTGCCTGCCGAACGACGGAGAGACGCCGAGGGGACGGCAAGCCACAGAGGGGCAGCGGCTGCGATCAGCGGTCGGCTTTTGCATCAGCAAGTAGCAAAACATCATCCCCTCTCTATTCCCCCCGTAATGAGGTTCTTTCAAATACGAACGTGTTTAATAAAAAAAAAACAAAAGGCGTTGATGAGACAAAACAGCATTGCTGCATGAGGCTCCAAGGCCCTGGGGGGGTTGTCTAATATTACTTTTTTTTGTTTTCGTCTTGGTGCATCCCCCCTCCCCCTCTACACCCCCTGGCGGCTCTGTCGGGCCAGCCCGGCGCGGGCGGGCCGGGGGGTCCTTATCAACGGCGTGGGTACGGATTACATACATACATGGGGAGCTTCTACATGATAAGTGATAGTTACCCGTGCAGCACGGGTTCCTGATCAGAAAACGGCTGGAGAGGGGGGAAGGAGAGGTGGCGGTGACTGGGGTGTTTATTTTGGAAAGCATACCGAGACAAGCTGAATGGGCTGGGCTGGTTATGGGGAGCAGGGCTTCCTTTTTCGACGCAAAGACCTGCTACTTTTGAATCTGCCTGATGAGTTAGGGGACATAAAAGTCGCAATTTGTCCTTGCAATCACCAAGATGGCTCACCGCTTGATCGACACACGACATGTTGCACAAGACAACAAAACAGTCCAGAACGGCACAGGCAGAGGAAGTCGAGGCAAGCTTTTTTTTTTCTTCTTCGTAAATTTGAGTTTGCCGCTGCCGAACCCGCTCCGACCTCTTCCTTTCCGAGGCGAACTGACAAACCCGTGGCCGCCCAGGCCGTCTGTTCATGCCGGGTTTGCACGGACGCTGCATGCCCAGTTCTTGGCAGCCATCTTGGAATTTTTCAAGACCAGGCAGAGCGCGCAGTGCAGCAGCGCATCTCTAAGAAGCATGGGGGCGTAATTTGAGTATAGTTGGTGTGCCTCGTCTTTTACCTGGTAAGCCTGTTGAAGCACACCTGACGAACGCAGACCGGATCTATTAAACATCTTGATCTGCGTGGTGATCAAATTGCAGGCCCAAGGCCGCACATCACGTCGGTGTGCCAATCTGCAAAAGCTTGTATGACAGGGATGGATGAGAAGGACGGGGGTAGGCGGACAGTACAGGATGGGGGGCCGCTTGCGCACGGTCGCTGCAAGATGGGCTTCCTTTTCTGCTCATAACCACTCCCCACACGCGGATGGCGGACCCCGAGCCGGGGATTGTCTGCGAATATGGACAATTGAGTTTGCAAGGGAACGGGGGGGAGAGAAACTCCCCAATCACATGCGAGGTGCCGAAGAAGCTTGTCGACAAAGGGTGGAGAGCGACTCATCTGCATGGTGATAAATAGTGCCCAGTGACGAGCTTCTCAGCAGCGGAATACAAGACATGTACGGATACTCGAATGTATTGAGAAAAGGCGTTGACAATGGTGTCACTAATAAAAACGTGCACACGGCACCGTCTTGAACCAGGGTCAGTGAGACGTCACAAACGGCCGGGATAACGTTGTGAGACGCGCCAAATATTCGCGCAAATAGAATGACGCATTTCCCATTCAGCGCGCAATGGGCAGGGTCTCCATGCATACCTGGAGGCGAAGAGGGGAGGAGGAGGAGCATGATGCTCATTTCTCTTTCCTATTTTGGCAGAAACTTTGAATCAGTATTGTTCGCTGCCGACGGAAGATGCCACGCGAGGTGCCTTAGTCGACCACCTATTTCAATACTGGTACATGGCAAGAAGATCGGCTTGCTTAAATTGTTTCAAATGACTCGAGCAGAGAGCAAAAAGGCATCGGATGAGATCCGTCCGTCCTTGTTCCTTGGCGCAGACGAAACTGCTTTTGGGTAGTTATTTGAGAAATCGTTAGCCGTTTGAGATGCGTGGGGGGAGTTGAGCCAAACTCTCCTCCATACTCACTTGGTACTACTGTGTTCGGGGTCTTGTCCACCTCGTCAATCTCATCACCTCGAGAGGGAGCACAACTGCCGATGAGCGCAGCAGAAAAGTACTGGTAATACAATATCACCGTCGTACTGGCACCCAAGGTGGACTCTGCTATTTTGGTGGTATCCAAAAATTGCCCGAGGTGAGACTTGCAATATCCGAGACAAAAACAAGGTCAATACTTCCTGCTCCGCACACGTGTCGAAATCCCGACATCAGCCGCCGGCAAATTTCCCTGCTCTCTTCCTAAAGACATCGACAGACAAAAGAAGGGCTGACTGAATACTTGGAGGGCCGCCAGGAGCGAGGCAACGCGTTGTGCTGGCTGGCTCTGTTCATGTGCTGGCCAAGGCGTGCAAGTACCAAGGCAGGTCATAGCATAAGGTTGATGAGGAATACGGAGCTTTGAAAAGGAACGGAAACAGCGATACTAGCCAAGTTTTACTGAAACGTGCTTCAATAGCATGAAGCTATGTAGGTATAGGTATCGGGCAACCTCGACCCAAGTTCCCAAATCAAAAGTCTCAACCACCCCTTGGACCCCGTGGGAAGAAGTTGGAAAGCTGAGTGCGCTCTCTTAAAGAAGCAGCATAGTGCCCAAGTATGCCGTGACTGAGCGTATTCACATCAAAGAAGATCCTGGCTTTGATTTCGTCAGCTTTGTGATGACGGCGCATCAAGTCGAGGTCCTTGAGATTCTTCTCGGTCACGTCTACCTCGAATTTACCCTATGATTCATGCGTATATGAGTGGTAAGAGGTTGACACGGCGCATTCGTCAGCCCTTGGGCGTTGTGTGACATCATGCCTCCATCACGGCGACGATTTGCTGTCGCGAGCTGCATATGCATAAACGATGTGCGTGTGCGGCATAGCAGCGCATGATTATAGAAGGGGACCCGACGTATTCTGCATCTCGGGGAAATGGATCGATAGAGACTCACTCGGCAGTCACCCGCCCCGCGCGGATCCTAAAAGTAACCGTGACAAATGGTTGAGTGAAGAAACGAGCCGGCGTACAATGCGTCTCTCACAGTTCACATGATGGAGCGGCAAGCGATACACCCATCTTTGCACGTCGGCGCGGCGGAGGGTGCCGCCACGGAGAGATCAGGGGCGAGAGGCGCAGCAATATCCGACCTGTGCTCAATGAACCGCTGCCTCGTCGACAACTCGGCCATGGTTCTCAGACCAACCCATCCTGCTGATGAGCGCTACTGTAAGAGGGATGGGCTGCTGGTCCTCGTCCGAAGGTGTGCTGCTATGGATGTACAGCCTCCCATCCGAAGCCTGCTCATCAACGCACAATAATACTTAGACCTTCTGGCGACAACCGACTGGTGATAACCTTGTCCGATACATGTGATGAGCTGATCCTCGATGTATGTCGCTACAGGCTTGCAGCTCCGCTCGGTGCTTGCATCGGCACTTTGCCTTGATGGGCAGCAAACGCGAGAGCCCTGCTCCGCACATTGATGAGCGATCGACAAGCAGCTACCTCAAGTTTAAGAGGTGCTCTTTCTTTGGTTGCGAAAAAAAAAAAAGCAGCGTCGCCTATGTGTGAGCCTAATGAGCTCGCCAATGACTTCTTTTCCTGGCCTCGGTCTTGCACTTACTTTGCTGCAACGGCGGATCGGTTGTCGGATCACGGTAGAGCGGGAACACAGGGGAAACAAGGAACAACGCAGCTAAAATGAGCTGCGCATGCAACGTGCCGCTGATGGTATAGATTTTTGTGACGACGGCTGGCAGGTTTGACAAATGATGGCTTGGCTTGTCACAAGGCTGAAGGCGCTGGCAATCAGAGGTTTGTTGCTGAAGATTGCTCAGCAATGAGGCATTGGTGGCAGGGCCACGAGGGGCGCAAGGCGAGCTGCATGGCGCATCATAAAAGGCGAAAACAAATTTCAGCCCCGGTAATATATCTGTTGATTGATATCCGCATTAAGATGCAACCGAATAGAAAAGGAGAGGCGGCTCACACCCCAGCTCACTCTTCCGAGCAGCGCCTCTCGCTCGCTCTTGCCGTCGAATCTTGCATCTCCGCGCAACATGGCACACGTTGGTCCGTCATGAAAGCTACATGTGCCCGAGCCGATATAAACCAGGAAACCATGAAGAAGAAAGCTTCGTTCTCGCTTATTCGTTATTAGCTTTCGGCCCCCGCTATCTTTGCCTTGGTCTGGCTCTTCACTAGTCAGTCAGCTCGGCTGCTAAAAAAAACCAGACATCCCAAATGTAAACAAAAACCAGAGAATCGGGCCGCGCCATGTAACGCTATGAGTTCCGGTCTTGCGCAGTGGTGCCAGAATGATTAAAGAGAGCTTGGCCTTCTCCTTTTCTTGGAATTGGAAGCAATTGTGCTGTAGTGTTGTGTTGTTCATCGAAATGCTTGACGTCAGACTCGTTGGCGTCGCATAGTCTTGTTTTGTCTTGTCTCTGGTCTCGTGGCATCTGAAACAGCTCGCCACCACATGTGTTGCCGACGCTGGTTCGGCGTGCCAAATTAAACTTGACATCCATGTTCTTGTAGCGACCACGCCACGTTGGGCAACAGCCCTTCACCCAGGGGCGGGAGGCGTTGC